CTGAGTCTCCTTTGTTTGAATCTGTCATCATTAAATAAATCCATAAGTAAGATATCTGACATTACACACATTACACTACGTTACAGCGTTCATTACATAGTCCATATCTTGGTTTATGTTGATATAAGTAAATTTTTCAATAATTTTATTTATTTTTACCATCAGAATCAATTCTACTTAAACAAATTTATAGCTAATTTTAATTTTGTTTGGGGAACTTAAATCGAATGGAGAAAATCAAATTACCAAATCATTCAAAACTTGTTTTTCAGCGAAGAGTTCATTTTTCTCTTTCAAGTGTAATGCTTTTTCATCCTCTATATATTGTTGTATTTGGCTTAATTGAGCTTCCTTATCGTCTAGACTGAAATATAAGCGATATCGTATTTAATGGATTAAAAACCATATACTGTGTATGATATTTTTGCCAAATGATGCCTATTTGTTGTAGTAACAGCACATTGGGCGTGCATTTAAGTATCGCTTTTAATATGGTATTATGAAATGTAATTCTACATGTATTTGCATATACTCATAGGCATTGTAAGTGAATTGCTTACATTAATTTTATTGTCTGATGAAGATGATAGAGTACATTGATTTACTATTTTAAAAGAATAGCATAAATAGCAACACATATAGGAGTATGTTGTCGGCTCGATAATTAGCTACGATAATTGCTATCACTGGCCAATTAATATACACTACCTTTTCTTTTTATCTTGTAATGTTTTTTCTGTCTGATTAATCGTCTATTAGGATTCAATATTAAAAGTTAGTTTATTCACTGGCTATTGATAAAGTATTTTAAAGACATAAAATAAAATTTCCGCATATCTATTTACTTCTTGTAGTTGCAATATATAGGCATCTTTGCTTCTCATAACTTCAAGTATTTTCTTATCTTTATCTTCAGCTTTATTTTTTTCTCTGCAAATGGCCATGGTATGTCAAAGTAAAATAGTTGAGATTTACTAGTATATGCGTACAGTAGTAGTGTACTAGTGCTAACCTTTCAACAACCATGGTAATAGCTGCTGTTAAATCAGGTCGAGTACTTTGTAACCGTCTCCATAAAGACCAGACAAATTCTTTATCGGCCTACATAGAAAATTTGAAGCTATATAATTTAATTTACCAAGATAGAAATTCAGATAGTTTTTTATTATAGGACGTCTCAATATTTGCTTAGGTTAATTAACTATCGTTCATGAAATAAGTCATTACTATACTACGATTACGTTACGCATCTATTTATACGATTAAAGCTTAAAAATAACCGTTCAATGGCAAGTAAATATCGATCATCACGAGTTCTTTAAATTAGACATGTAGATATATTAGAGCTCTGACCTTGCAGCGATTAAGTTCATCTTGTAAGTTTGCTATAGTAGCTGGTACATGATCAATTGATCCATTTCCTGATATAATCACGCATAATTATGAATTCGATTTAAAAATTGCACACGAATCTTCTTCATAGGTCACAAGGATACACTTATGTCTTTATAGTATAGTTGTTTTGTGGAAAACATGCGGCAATGGATGTTTGTGCATTAAATAGATCTTAATAAATCAGCAAGTAGAATAGAATAAAAATTGTACGTAATGAAACGTTATTGTAGGGTAGCTATACTGGACTAATACATCGGATGCATTTTGTACAGTTGAAAAGTGAATTGTAATTGCTCAATTTAAATTAATAGGAATATTAGCATGTCATCTCATATCTTGGCGTCCATTTATTTTGGACTATAATAATCATATACTTTTGTGGGTTTCTAAAATGTTTATATTTTAATAAAATACGCACATAGAGAGTACATCATACTTGCAACAATTGTGTTACGGCTGCGACGACGAATCAAGTAAATTAAAAAGATCATGCCTCTAGGTAATCATTTTGGAGCAGTCCATATCGTAAATAGAGACGAGTGGAATACTGTAGCTAGCTGTAACTCACCATTAGCAGGGCATATCAATTAGACTATCCTAAAAAATCGATGTTTCATGCGAATTTACACTATAATACTCAACTAAAATTGATGATTGTAATTTAAAAATTTTGCCTATTCATTCTAAGTTCTGCACGCGATTTTAAAACTATTTGTAGCCTATCTTGAGTAACATCCATCCAATCATCACTTACCAGATATATCGGCCATATTGATCGAAAAATGTACGCGTGTATACCAATGTTCAAGATTAAATAGCAACGTTTCAATATTCAATCATGCCCTTGAAATAGGACATTACATTGGAGGGTAAGTAACTCTTTGTATGTAGTGTATAAATGGATTAGCCCTTGATACCATTTGCTAAAATTGATCAGGCGATTTGATGGAAAATATTAACAATTGCTTACTATTAATAAGGTAAAGTTTGCAAGGATTATAATATTGATTCTAGTCTAATTTTAATTGATGCAGCCTCGAATCGTATCATGAAATACAGTACAGTTAATTATCATCGAGTAAACTACAATATGACTATTATGATGAATGGCTAAGAAACTGAAGAGTAATTCTATAAGCCATATCAAAGACTAACACAGGTCAAAAGCGAAGCAATTTTAAAAGTATAGGAACAAAGTTTCAGTATTAATGCTGGCAATGAATTGACTTTCGGATAACGTAATTAGTATCCACGACTAATAATAAATATAATCTAAGGCACTTTAGCGTAACAATTGAATTGAATTTATTAACGGTTTCAGTCGGTACTGTGCCGTTAACCATAGAAGTAGGGAAAAGCTACAGTAAGAATCTCGTACGGTCCGTGTACTATTAGTTGTTGTTAGTCCTGACTGTACTCAGAGGGCTGTTTTGTAGTCCTACTTTGAAGTAACCTTAACAAATTTAAATCTTGGGTTTAACGGAAGGTCGGTACAAGTGTTTACAGTATTGTGCCATGCGCGGTACTGTACTGCAGCCATCACATTGTATATATATATATATATATATATATTAACAAATATATACAATTGTACTAATTCAGAGTGTGGCTGAATACAGGTCGAGACTATGCTGTTACGACATATTTTTGCTTGAAACTTATTTGTTCAATGTAGTTAGTCTTAAATGGGTAAACGATTTCAGTAAACGTATACAGGATCACCATATAGCGCTGTATAATAAAGCAAGGATAGTGAACTTTTGTTTAGACGTCTACAAAGTAGAAGTAGACTAGCGCCAATTAGAGATGCTCCAATTGAAATAGTTACTATACTTTATAGTATCTACAGATACTTTTCAATTTTTTCCTGTACACTTTGTAGCAATGACATGCAAAATAAGTTCCTATTGTTACCAATAATAGTGGACAACAGCACCGTTTGATTAAGGTGCTTAACTTTTTATAAAATTACTCTATTTTTAAACTCTCCCAATAAACCATCTTACGATAATACACCATAAAGCTTAAAACAAAAAAGAGGAATAAAGGCATTTTTGCCCATGTTGAAACTTATTTTAATTAATTCATAAGAGCAATACGTACAATAGTAGTAAGTAAAATACTGTAACTCCAGTGACAGTCCATATAAACATTTTACTCTTAATTAAATTACGATTTTAATGTCAACAGTTTTTGTAACCTTATCTACAAGTTGCAATTTCATACAACGTGTTTACAGTAAGTATCAACCTAAATAGATTAATACCTATGCGTTGAACAAGAAAAAAACTTATAGATTCCATATTGCAATCATTATTTGTTCAAATTATTCAAATACAATTCGTTTATACTTGCAAGTGAAAAAGTATCCTATAGTAGCTAAAAATGCTTTCTATACCTCAACAAATAGTATATAATGATTGACTTTCGATAGCTATCGCAGGGCAGCAAAAGCACAGTGTTTAAAAACACGCGATATGTATACATTGCATAAAATTCTTTGTAGAAAGGCAAATTTGTTACAATTCGAACATTTGTAGTGATTGTCTATGCGTGTACGCCTTCAACAAAGGCGAAGGCTAGCTGTGTCCAAGACCTTGCTAACAAATATGAATTAGAATATTGAAAATGTTGCATAAATGGGAACAATATCAACATATAGAACTACTCGAGTACTCTATGGCCTAACTAGATAAGATAATTAACGTATAGATTTTGTTAAGCATTTAAATTCTTCCATAAGAATATGTATCATATTATACAATGTTCACATGATGACGCATACAAATAAATTACAAGCATCTAGCAAGCGTTTTCTTAAATTATAGCTCTAATACAGTTATTATGGCACACGTATCTAATTTAAGGAATAATTGTTGGTCTTCACCATTTGCATCCTAGGATTTGTGTACCAAATATCGTCCTCCATCATAACAGAATATCGTCTTTTAACTTTCGTTTATATAAAAACTAAATTACCGATGACGACTTTTATCCTTTCTTCGCCGCCGTTTCATGTAGCAACAAAGACATCTAAAGCAAGACAATAAAAATTATGATAATTAGTATCTAAAAATTCGAAATACTCCTGGGTTACAACACTTTGAAAGATGGTATTTTAGATACAAGCATTTACTTAATATCATCACTACTATCTGATTCTTGAGAATGTGTATCATTCAGAGCAGTGAGGGGTTCAGTTGGATTGGCGTCTAATCCACCATTATTGGGAGTATCTTGTCTATCTCCGTTATATGCTTCTGTAGTTGGCTTTTCCGCCTTTTCTTCACGCCTTGTAGTTGCTGTCTGTGGCTGATTTGGCGCTTTCTTCGACGGATCAGCCCAAGGCTCCTTTTGCGACTGTTGATAAAGCCATCATAAGTATATAGCATTTAATTATAGTCTTAAAAGTATACAACTGTCAATTAAAACCTGTCGTGGTTGATTTTCCGTAGTTGTTGCTGTCCTTGCTGCAGATTCTCTAGGGTGAGTTGAGGGTGGTTTCCTTTCAATAGTGTTATTTGCTGGATCGATGACACCCTAAATTGAATATAACAACAATAAATCTATGTTCTCAAAAAGTTATCCAAGTCGATAGCGGTCAATTACATATAAATATATATCATTACCACATTTTTACCAGACCAATCAAATTTAGTTTCGTCTCCATATCCTCTCTTTTTGTATAATTCTTTAAAGAGATTTCGTAAGTGATCATAATCTGGCTTTTCAAAAAAGTCTAGTCTTCTCGCATAGCGAAGATACGAAGCAAATTCCTCTGTATTTTAAGTGAAAAAAAATTAATTTAACTGACAAGGGATTAGAAGTTATCATTACAAAATAAATGAATCGCTCATGCATTTATAATTATAATAAATCCAACATACCTGGATAATTTTCGCAAAGAACTTCAATCGGTGTTGATCTTTTGGTATCACCAATCTTTTGATATCTTTCCTTTAAATTAGCAGCCTGCGCGCAACAACGAACAACATAAGTATAGATAAGTTATTATCGTATCCTACTATTTTAATTTTTAGATATTCGGATACATATCATCAAGGTTGCTGTTGGTATAATTTATAAAAATGATATCGATATATTTACAATAGAACAACATAATATACGATATCAATATGACAGTCACTTTAACTATTTTTTGAATTATTGTTTCGATTTTTTACTTACCGTAAGACCTTGCCATGGTAAACTACCGCGTAGGAAATACATAAACATATGACCTAATGCTTCTAAATCGTCACGCCTACTTTGCTCTTTGGGATTTCATAAGTAATACAAATGATATTTGTACATATTAAAACATTATCAATATAGCTAAGAAATTTTAGTCACACATAAAAATCATAATGTAGACTATGTACGCGTATTACAAGTTTACTAACCTTTGCCAAGATGGGTATTTATACTCATATACCGTGCTGTTCCAGTAAGACTTTTATGCTCTCTATATGGTATATGCTTATTCGTTTCAGGATCAATATATTCTTTGGCTAAGCCAAAATCAATGATATGAATTATATTTTCATGCTTATGATTTGGGCGGCCAAGCACAAAATTTTCTGGCTTGATATCGCGATATATCACATTTTTCGAGTGAACGTATTCAATTCTATTGAGCTATAAAAGTAAGATATACAATATTTTAGCCTTGTATAAAGTTGAGAAAAAAAAAAAATTTCAAACAATATGACAGAGTAGAATCATAAAATAATTTTTTTACAGTAAAAAACTTTACAGTACTAGATTTAGCAATTATACGTGCAATAACTAATCAGTCAATTATAACTACTTCTCTTAGAAATATTCTTTTTCCTACATTGTCTCATATATACATATAGTTATTTAAACAAAAAAATCGATAGAGCTCTAAAAGACTACGATAATTAATGGATAGTCATTAAATCGATAGTATCACACTGTACACTAATAGCTATATACGTTTATTTATTGCAATTACACTAGATACATATCGCATGATCGATTTAAAAAAGCAGATGTATTAAACAACAGTATAACAATACTATGTTGCAAGAGAGAATAGAGTAATTAATTAAGATACTACAGAAAGCATATTAAACTATTTAAACGGATATAGAACATATAATGCAACTCTTTCTTCGTAAATCAATCAAATTAAAAGAGAGAAAAATTAATACAAATCTGTAGTATAGGAAAATGTTTATCTTTTATATTGATAACACATCAAGGTAGATAGTAAACTTTTTTGATAGAATTTCATAGTGTCGTACAATATTGCAAGATTATTTCACTATATTGCAAATATGCCAAAGTAAAAATTTCGATGATATTTTCTATAGTATTTATTTTAAATATACTAACCAGTTGAATCGCCAAGAGAATGACAGTTTTAAGCGAGAATTTTCGGTTACAAAATTCGAAAAGGTCTTCCAAACTAGGTCCAAGTAACTCTAAAACCATAGCATTAAATTTACCACATGGTCCAAAGTAATAGACTTGAGGTAATCCAACTAATGTATGAGAAAGTGTTAAAATCACGGTAAATAAACATAAGTTACATTCAATATTAGCATGAATAACAAAAATAGTAGCGACAGTTTAACACATCAAGATGTGACACTTAGTTACGATATTTTATCAACATATACAGCGTTGTTAGAGAATAAAAAATAAAATAAAATTGCCTCTCTATTTTACTTAATACAACGAGATCATATACCATAATTGCCGATCGTCGATACAATTACATCAAAGAGTATTAATTATTAACTTATTGTTGTACTTGATTCACAATGTAAAATGATCATTTCTCAATAATTAATAAGATCACGAAGCCAACTGACGACAATACTACATGACATGCCCGCAGTTCGGCTGAAAATTTTTTGAGTTTGTGCTATAAATCTGATTCTAATATAAATTATAATATCAATTTCTAATATTATATTTATGAGTATATATTAGCAATAATAACTAACTATAAGCTATTCGATTTTTAAGGTCGATTTTTATAGAAAGACCTAACTTTATCGATACCCCCCTAGTAGTTCACAATGTCAATACCGTACATTCCGAGTTGTACGCTATACGCTATACCATATAGCGCACAAATACAGTACATACGGTATAACATAGCATCTTAGGTGAAATTCTGTCAAAACATTGGTGCTATATATTAAGCAATTAAGGTAAGAATACCTTCATGCGCTTTTTTCGTTGTAACTATAACTATGGCGATTTTAATATTATTACAGATTACCGTCCTAATATACTGTACATCAAAACAGACATTGTCGTGCAATATTTCAATACAAACAATAAATATCAGCGATAAAATTGCAATATTAATTCAATATTAATAACATAATCATAATTAACTACTTATTAAGTAGTCATTTTTACTGATGTTTAATATATAACTTAAAATGCCTTCATCAATCATTATACCTGTATACTACAGCGTAGTTTAGTATGACATTGAGCATAGCTAATCACAACTCCAGCATTGTCTGATAGTCGCTGACGATTATAATACTTGTATAACTTAGTTAATAGAGCGTTAACTACACAGCCAAGCTATATGTACGTATCTACTACAATAGACTATATATAAATCCTTTAAACATTATGTAGTATACCAAGATCAATGTAATAATATTTGCAATTAGCTACGCTCGATTTATACATTGTGCGTAAATAAATGCTATTATAATTTTCTACCATAAATATGACAGTTTACCACTAATCAGGTTTAATTTTTAATACTATGTAAGTAGCATCTGCATGATTCCCTTGTTGGGCAGTATCATAAATAGATAAAAATAATTTCAATTATTATAAATGAATAAAAAAAAAACGGCCTTAAGAATAATCACTGCTTAACTGATAAATTTATAATAAATTAAAAGATATGTATACCCTACGAAAATTTTACATCTAATCGCGAGCCATTCATTATTCAGCTAATTAGAAATATTCCTAACATCTGAGATAGCAAATAGAGCTCAAAAAGAGAAGTGCAATAACGATATTTATATCTGCTTATCAACTTTCGCCAACTGTACCAGCATGGATATTTAGAATGCGTAAAAAAGTACAGATACACTATATCTGTTTCTTTTAGCGTTCAATATAAGAAATTTGGTAGAAAAGAAAATGAACGAAATGCTTAGAATAAAATTTAAGGCACTAATAAATTTGTACTAAGTTAAAAAAAAAAAATGAAGAGTAAAGTTAGTAAGCTGAAAATATCTACACTAAATTCCACATTATTATATTACACTAAAGTTATGAACAAGTAAGCGACAAAGTAAGTAATGTCAAGTACATTAATACCTATAGATCGTGTATCCATAAACGGCACAACACTACAGTATATAGTACTATAATATAATTACTGCACTATCAGTGTGAAACAACGGCAAATTTAATACCGTAACATGACCATATTAAAATCCTATTATATTAATCAAATGATCTGTAGCTTTCACACTTGAAGCCAAAATTACTTTGCAACTCAGTAGTCACTATAGTAACTGTAACTTAATCGTCTAATAATACTTCATTGGAAGAAAATAGCTAAAAAATTCGGCATAAAAAATAGAAGTATAAATATTTTCTATACGTTGCGTATAATACAAAAATAGAATCAAATGGATAGAATAGAGAAAAAAAAATTGAAAATATACCATAGGATATTGCATGTCATTATGAAAAGATGAAATTGATGACTGGCAGCGTACTAATTCGTAAGTATATTTGTGATTACTGTAGGATTATCTATCGTTCGGCAGTTTGTACCACGAATGATATAAAAATTGAAAGATAGAGGTATTTTGGATACAGTTTCGATCGTATTTTATCTTGGATTCAGTTCATAATAATTATTGTCAAGAGACAATAATAATAGTAAAGAAATACTTCTCTATGAAAATAGTATCATCAGGAGTAGCGTCTTAATTTATTTACTTAATCACATATCGATAACGGTATGATTAATTATTAGCAATCAGATAAGACTGCAGCATTATCGATGAGCAAAACTTTCGAAGATTAAACGGTAAAATACAGTGAGTACAAGTGTAGAATAATCAAAGGGAATGATAGTAGATAAACTAGAATGTTATACTCTTTACTGTATCAATTTTAGAATACAAACTTAAGTTAGTAAATCTCTTACCATTTTTGCCTAATACTTTATAGAAACGATATTCTAGATGCAATTGAGGAGCTCGTGTTTTCATTGCTTCCTATAATGCATTTAAAATGGAAGATGATTTCGGTTAATGTAGTTAATTACGGCAAATAACGGTAACAAGTACACTGTAAATAATATCATAAAGGCTCACAGTGTCACAAAACGTTATAATCCGTACACAAGTATTAATCTGACGAAGATAGTAATTGAATGGAATAATCAAAACTATTCTTAGCTCCTTAAAAATTCGACCTTTTACTAATATATAATGGAGAATAACGCTCTACAGTATATATATATATATATATATATAGATCAAAAGGTAAATATTGTTGTAGGTCTAACGTTAGCAAGGTGGTTCAAAATTGTATGAAGCTACGGCTATAACATAAATATATCATATTACGCAGTACACGTAGTGGGAAAATAAAAACTAAACAATCATAGCAACTATTACAAATTTGCGTATATCCTTTGTGCGCTTAAACTATTATCATCATCTATTACTGTACAGTACTGTATATAATAATTATTAGTTTGCGCGTATTTCCATCCACATCTCATTTTATCAAAATTTGTTTACGCGCTTGATATCACTGATTACTAATCGCAACAAAAAGGTGAATAAACTTACCAATTTAATCGCCACTCGTTCGTTATTATAGAGATTTTTACCTGTCCAATGGAATTTCAATAAAAATACTATTTTAGTAAAAAACTTTCGAATGAGCAATACCATGGTGTCTCATCACTAGAATAATTCTATGTATGATACGTATTTAAAATTTGATCTTAATCAAGCTATATTGCATGCACAGTATCACAAAACTATTGTCAATCAGACAATAAATAAAAATTCATCAAGTCGGATACATAAATCACAAATTATACATAGTACTGGTGTTCTCGATATTCAAGTGAAATTTTAGCATTGGTTAAGAAGCCTATACAGTATACACTCATGGAAAAGGGTCTTAACGTTGCTCGTTTGTAATTTTATTCAGTAAAATAGGCAGTTGTAACAGTTACGTATTTTGCCTTTAGTATCTAAAAATGGTACATTCAGTAACATCATCATCCCATCCAAATTTTGCGGTCTTTGACTGTAGTATCGAATGTATTCGAAAGATTTTACAAGTGCTATACAAAACTAGTGTTATAGTAATTATTAGCTAGTTCTAAATTTTACGAGTGTACCTTTGTATACAGTACTATTATAATTTTAGTGTCGAGATATCGCTATCAACATGATATAATTTCCCTATTCCATAAGTAAAATGTAGACTGAACTGATGTGAGAATATTGTAGTGTACATCCTGTCGATTATTTGAAAGCGTTATTTGAATCCAAAGTCATTAGGAAGAAGTCAACTGCAATATAAAAGTCAGATTGAAGGAATTGCCATTACTCCCGCTACAATCTTAAGTACGGAATAACTTCTCATATTTTTATAACAGCATGGATACGCTTGACAACGATCGATAGGAATTGAGTGATATCGTGTAGAAGATTCCGTAATCTAGTAAGTTAATGTGATAATTTTGCCCCATTTTTAGGGGGGGCCCGATTCGTCTTATAAAAAATAATATAATATAACGATCATTATGTCAAGACAATCACGTTGGTAACTAGAAAAGATAATTGGTTTCAATGCTGTAAGATAATGTGTAAATGAACAATATCATACTGTCATTCGTTTTAAAGTAAGTTAAATGTTGTACAATCTCAATAAAAGCATAGCAACGTACAGTAGTGAGCTGACTATATGATATCATTTGGCATACAAGGCAAAATTAAAGAAAGCAATTGTTACACAGATAGTATATTGGGTCGCTCATCAAGTAAATGTATCTTTTACATAGTATATTAGGTTTCAAATTGAAGGAATGGATAAAACAATAAAAGGAGAAAAAATAAAATTTTTGAATACACTTTTTTTACAAAGTGACTCAAATAAGAAAAGGTAAATCACATCTGTAGCATGCCATTGTCGATTAAATCATTTTTTTGGACAGCATTGCTAGATTAAGGTTAATATATCAAGTTATATTCTAGTCGATGTATCATGAAGGCAAATAGCATTTCCATCTCGATCAGAATCCCCTCTTTAGACATCAACAAGTAAGTTATGGAATAGTGGGTGAATCAGTGACCATTTGAGTCAAGAGTAGGAAGTGAAAAGAAGAAAAAAAAAAAAATATTAGGGATTTAGACTACAACTGTTTAAAATTTTTTATTTCAATCGGACATTAAGCTATTGTAAGCGATAGCCACATGCAGTACACAACTCTTCTGCCATACTGTGTAGTGTGTACTGTAGCGTGGTTATGTATTGTGTCGACTACTGTCTCTATTAGTTGTTCCACTGCGAACAAAAAAAAATCAAGGCGAACGCTTAGAAATAGGAGCTTGGTTAATTCCATTTAGACTATTATTTCAACATGACTATTTAGCAAAGATAATTTATTGCAGTAGTCATGGTCTACAATTTGATGACAAGACCAAGCAAGAAGAGATTGGCAATCATGATTGATCGATCGATTAACTGAATCGAGTTGTATTGGAAGGTTTTTATTTGTGCATCTGGGAGTCGATTGAGTATGTTGAAATATTGGAAAGATGTTGACGGCACTTGTAGAAATTCCAGTTGATGCTAAGTGGATTTTCTATTTACAGTAGTAAGTGCTCAAACAGTCTATTGGATAGTAGGACTGTAGTCATTAGGACAATCTGCCGTCCATCATGCTTTGGTAGTTGACTATTGATTTCTACAATGGCCATGGTCAAAGTATTGGCATATTGTATCCAACACCGACACTATTTGTAATGATGACAGCCATCAAAATGGGAGTGTACTACTGTAGTATCCACGATGCAGTACTAACTATAGCGATAAAAGTAATACCTCGATGGCACTCCTTGTTCACTGTCTATGTAACCATTGCCAACAGTATACTATTGCTTGTCAACGATCGATATTGCCCAACTGCAACGGCATGTAAAAACGAGCGCGGCTACAACATCAATGAAGATGGATTTGATCGTCTTGATTAATGGTAAATGCTGCAAATACAATAATTGCCTTTCTATAAACGACATTAACAAGCGTGCAATGAGAAGTGATTGTGTTTTAGGAGAGTTGAAAAAGTACGGTATGGAGGCTTTGTTAGAGGCAGAGTAGTACCTCTGAATACGTAAAGTACAACTCAATAAAGCTACGACAAGATTCCAACGACACAATCGGCGTCGGTAGAATAAAACGAGTACGATTTCAATGAGTTGAAAAGAACTTGGTATTGGTTATTAGAACAAAATTGATATTGTCAGGCAGGCAGCAAGAATGAATCGACTAGTTTGGTTGGATGATAGAAATGAGTACGATATTGCCGTTGAATAACGATCATACCTAAATAAATTTCGCCAAAATTGCCCCGACCAATGCGTCTACCCACACGAAAATTAGGTCCAACCATCAATACACTAGAATTGGATGAAGCTGAGCCAGCACGGGAAGCTTGACTACCACTATTTGTGCGTGTGCCACGCGGCTTACGTTGATGATGTTGATCGGTGTCTTTCTCGCGTCTTTGCATTGTATATTGTAGAGTGTCTTGATGGCGTGGATGAGTCAATTGGGTTGCAATATCGTCGATCTTTTTGGAAGAGTAATGGATGGACAAAATGTCAATACTGTATCAAGGATTAACTGTTATCGTATGGAATACAAGGTAGAAAAAAGTTCCAATTACACAAGCATATATCAACAGTAACACCTAAAGGCTTACAATAAAAATACTCTACAGTAGAGTTGTGTTGAATATTGCAAGGAAAATTCAAAACTACTCGTCGACGCTAGAACGGATTACTTGAAGATGTAATCCAATTAGTCCACAATATTACTGCGATAATAATGACTAGACAGTATACACAAGTCAAAATGGGGGTCTTCGTTTCCGATCTACTGTCAGTGAAGGAGAGTTGAATGGAAATCGCTATGGATGTCAAGGAAGAATGAAGCTAGCCGGCAAAGAGTGATTTGGTTTTTTGTCTATGATGGCCTGCTGATATCAACTTTTTTTTTTTCCCCTAATAATTTTGATACCTTTGCTTCTTCTCCAAGTTCAAAGTGGTGCTTTTATGGACAAGAGATTGCAATCAGCGTAAGTTAATTGGTAGCGTTAGCGATCTACTTGAACAATATTGTAATAGATCACGTTCAAATTCAAGAAATTGGAAAGTGATACTGCTGGACGTACAACGCTAGCGTGAATGGAGATCGTCCAGTTACCGTGTTGTACAGTATGAGATTGCCTTGTGTTGAGAACTATGTCCACTCAGTCAGAGTTGAAGACTTGATACTTGAGCCAGTCAAGAATAATTTGCAAGTGATCTATGCTACACTATTCAATCACGGAGTCCATGTTCTCTCCTTTCCTCTTAATTCATATTACATTGCTTGTATCTCGCCAATAGATTGAAAAATAGTCCCACCACGTCGTTAAGTTCAATCTTCACCGTGGTGAAAGTTTTCTCTTTTGGGCTTGAGCGTTTTCTACCGGTGTAGTTCTACTAGCAATAAGTTCAGCCTGTGCTGGCGCGTCTAGTCTACTACGCAAGTACCTCTCGATCGGTTATACTGTGCTCTAGTGTAAAAGGGGGCAGTCATGGTCTACTATTGTGCCAACCCATCTACTCTTACAGTGTACAGTATGTTTTACCAATGGCAAAGCAATATCGACTCGCGAGTGAGTACTGTAGACTGTAGACCATGTAGGTTTCCATGGCAAAACATACAGTACTGTATGGTGTCGAGTAGACACTGTGTTGGACTAGAGATGCGGTGAAGATGGCTGTTTATTCAAGTGTTGAATATGGTAGACCAAGTTTTTTTTTCCTTTATTACTGCCCATTTTAATGGATTGAACTTGTTCAATCAAGATGCACTTGTACAGTATTGAATATCTTTTTCATCATGCATTTTCATCAGGCCTCCATCGTGATGAGCAGTAGTGTACTCAACTCTACCATATTGTACACACGGAAGGCGTAAAGTATAGTACTGTTTTCTTTCTTCCTCACTTATTGTATTCTACCTTCTTTCTTTCTTTTTACAGTCCATTCTCCATCTTCCACAGTCGGCTGTCATGACCGTAGACATGTACGCGTACTTGTCAACAAAGATTTTACTCTACCGATATAGTGTTTGTGAACATCTTCTACAGTATATACTCTACTCTATCCAACCAATGTAAGATGCATACTGTACGTTTGCTTGTTGCTAAGTAGGCAAGGCGTAGCTGCCAATTGGCGACGCAAGAACAAATAGCAGAATACAGAAATAACTCATACCGATCGTATGACATATGACTCAGGAGCAGTTATCATTCACTGGTTGAAATACTGTACCACAGTTAGAAGAAAAATGCTCCTACTCAACTTAGTCATCCAGTCTTCACTGATCGATGATCCTCAGCAACCAATATACAAAACCCGTATGACATATGACTCATGAGTAGTCAGCATTCACTGGTTGAAATACTGTACCACAGTTGTAAAAAAAATGCTCCTACTCAACTCAGTCAACCAATCTTCACTGATAGATGATCCTCAGCAACCAATATACAAAATGCCTCCCTCTCTACTTCTGAAAATAACAGTACTCAAGTTGAAAGTTGGAATTGGGGGAATACTATTCAACAGTGTACTATCGAAGTTCAGACAAGGACTACTCGACCCCAATTCACTCATTGACTGCCTGTACAGTGTACAGTATACAGTAAGCCGCGGTGGTGCGCCTAGTGCCGTGTGGTGCGGGCTGCCAGTGCTGCGCAGCCGCATCAAATGCCGGTCGAGATACGGTGTACAGTACAGAGTGCAGATACAATCAAACTGTACACTGTACACTGTACAGCACTACAGTATACAGTTACCGTGCTTAGTACTGCATACTACAGTTCAAGACACTGTAGCCGACGTCGAAAAAAGGATGACACAGTTAGACCTGAGAAAGGTTCGGTTCGGTTCGAAACTGTAGGATCTCATACTGACACTGTACTGGTATTTAGTCTGTATTGCACTCATGGAAAATCTTACCCAGTGCTCGGTACAGTACACCAGCGAAAACACTTTCAGGTTAAAACCCGTTGGGTGTCACTACCTGAGTACCGTCTGTACGGCAGAACAATATGGCGTCTGATGGAGTCAAGATGAGGCAGGAGATGCCGCCCAAAGGTGGCTATCCCATGGTAGAATATCAACGAAATTTGCCACGGAGAGGTGTCTCTGGAGCAGCAATGATCATTGGTAGTGCTGCAATTATGTCATTTGGATTCTATCTAGTAATTAAAGGCAATCGACATCGAAGGTAATTACTGTCGATATCTTGTTATGCTTTGTTGCACAGGAGGTAACCTGTAAGCTTGATCAATCAGAATAACCTACGGTAATACGAAGAATTGCATAATACTGACGGTGATATTCTAACTTCTATTATTGTATGGCTGTTTCATTCCAACAATTTTATCCAAACTAGAAAGTGTTAGCACTTGCTACAACGGTTTTACTACTTTAATACATACTCTTGATAATCAGGTCTACTTGATATACATTTGCACCTACATACACGTATGGACCATTGAACCTACTGTATAAACTTCTCTTATCCTACTCAACTACTATATAATTCTAATATTAATGATATTGTGAAGTACTTATGATCGAGTAAGTCATTCCTTCAGTATTTGACCAGAGTTCAAAGAAAAAGCTTTTTCTCTCACCTCAATGATATTGACCGTATCCAGATGATGTCCCGCCGTGGACTCTCATCAAATACGTGTACAGTAATATAATTCGTACTGTAGATTCGCTAATTTTACTACATCTTTACATGGTGTCCTGCAGTTGCATCTATCTCATATTTAATACTTATAAGGATTGTCCAAGCTCAGTCTACTTTACAATAACGCGTCATTTTTGTCCTTAATAATCATCTAATAGAGTGCTAAAACAAGAAAGACTAGAAGCCAGACACTTTGTAAGGCCGTTAATACAAGCAGAAGAAGATAGAAGGTATGTACAGTATACTACTGTATACGGTATACAGCACTTACCGTATACCATCAAATGATTTGTTACTTTCCTTAGTGATATCAACAGTGTTCAATGAACCTGCTGAACATGGATAGTTTTAACTAATACAATATTAAAGTCTAATGAATAAATATTGATATCATACATCATCTTACCGCTATCTTATTTATAACAATGGCAGAATACTTCGCCGTCTCAAATGTTTAGAATATGAGGAAGCGAAAATTATGCAGAATGTACCAGGATGGGTTATAGGTGAAAGTGTTTATCATACCGATCGATGGGTGCAGCCACCTGCTGAACAATTATCTAGATTTTGAGTTATTATTACGGTCGATATCATTTAGCTTATGGCTAAGTTAACCTCCCCTTGGAAGCTAATAGAAATTAAAATTGTTTTCTATGCCAATGATAAAATCAAATCTGTAAAGTTGATGTAAATTGTTGCTTGATGTTGACTTCATCTTCTGTCAACCGTTAAGATAAAGCCTTGCTGAGCTTTATAGGCCTGTTGATAAATCTTCATGTGATTTTTTATATGATCACCTTCTATCAAAATGGAAATCCCTTACGGTATTTCAACGTCAACTTCCCAAATAAAAGCAGCTTTTATCGTATACAGAATCTGAGCATGCATAATACTACCTACCTGCATGGGGTTAAATCTTCACTGTAGTTAACTTTAAAACCTGCTTAATTCTAGATGGGAGGGGTCGTCCTATACGGTACACTATTTTACATAGCAATTATATCATATGTGTCAGCAGCAGTTAATGCGTAAAATATTATTAATACCATTGCTTCAAAATATATAGTTGGCCCACTATCTCTGCCTTTTATATCTCGATATATTACATTGCATACCGCAGTACATGAACGTCAAGCAACAACTATAGTAATTAATAGTCATTGTACTTTAGAACAGTTCCTAATAGATAGTGCTTCAATAAAAACCTGAGAAAATCGCTCAAAAAGGATTAAGCTAAGGAATGGCATCAAGTTCGCTAACAATAACTTTATTCGTGATCACATGCATCACGTTAAAATACAAACATAAGTATAAAACTATGTCCAATGGTATATGGAAGCATCAAAATAAAAATTTTCATTTCACGCCATCCGCACCTCATTATGACTTAGTGAGTAATTGCGAGCTTATCAATTCGTTAAACCTAATCATATCACAAGTGTAATAATGATTCGAGCATCGCTAGTTAACAGCTCAACGTCACTAAATAGAATTAGAATGGTTACTATTTCAAACAAATAATGAATTAAGAGTTATATGACTGGTATGTGTTCGTGTATTCTCATTTTGATTCTTTCAGTAAATGGCTTTATGTCATAGATCACAAATTTCTAATCTAGAGCACAATCTCTTATCCATCTGAAAGAAGTATATTTACCATAGAACAAAAGCAATTACTTGTTGTTATTCTATATTTAAGAGTTATTCGATAAAGCATCTGTCGTAGTCTTCTTCCTTTTTCTTGAGCTAACTTGTTGAGGATTTCTATATAACATATTAATTAAATGCAAAAAAATAAAGAGTTAATTTTATATTAAGTCACTGACAGATTCCAAAATCTAATGGTAAACCAAACATGTACTATAGGATAGACAGCCCTTACCTAGCTATAGTTGATAGAATGTTTTTACATACGCCTTTAGAGTTTGCAAATTCTGATGAGCTTACTAGTTTCTCAAGGATGATTTTGATATCATTCAAATCACATGATCTGCAAGCCTGCATACGAATATTAAATCGTAATAACGTTACAGACTGTCATATTATACCATTCATCTTTAACTACCACTGACCTCGGCATTATTTCTCACATAGTTGGCGTACTTCAATACTAGCTTCAAAAAATCCTTTAAATGTTTCTTCTTTAACTCTGATTTCATCTCTACGATTTCATTCAACATCTTAGAGATTTACAAAAGAGAAATATACACATACAATTAAAATAATATTCTTAGCAATATGAGAATTCAATACAGAAATTTTCGCTTTATCCCTACCGATGTAAAAAGCGCTTCAATTTTATTGCAGTAATCATTAAATGATTTCTTAAGAAGATCCTACACAAAGATACGATAACAGCAAACATGATATTTTCGGTAATAAGGTTAGGCCTAATAATACGTCATAAAATATATGTGTAATTACATAAGGCTGGATAGCAGTTATAATTGCTGAAATTAGGATAGAAGCTTGTGCCTAAAATATTCGAGATACAGTAAAACATACGTCAATTTGAAGCTTACACGATAAATTTAATTTCCCTCGGTTTATAATTATTATATGAAATCGTGTAATACCTTCCTAAAGCTATTAATGCTATTTTGAAGATGGTACAGAAAATCTTCAGTTAGATCAAAAGATATTTCCTAAACCAAACGAACGTACATCCACATTAACTAATAGAAAGCTTATAAATATTTGTTACATCCCAACTTTAGTGCCAGCATACATGCAGCAATTTAATTTAGTTTTTACCGGGTATCGTCTGATCATTTCTGTACAGAAAGTAGTTGTGACTTTTGTTTTTCTATCAAATTAAAGAATAAATATTCAGTACATAAATTTTTTATTATACAGTCTAACTAAATAGCACCATGCGAAAGAGTTATTACTTGCTGGTCATGAAATCCTTGAGTATAAGACGGAATGACGATTCTATGTGCTGCAATACACAACGGAGAAATGTTTCGTTGAGTCTTAGTAATTTACCCAAACATATCAAGTAACTTAACATGCAGTTTTAACCGGCATTTTTACGTTCATACGATTTTACGCCAAATTTACCGGTATCATATATTCTTTATTAGCATTCGATTGATTTTTCTTTGCTTGAGATTGTCGCCTTGTCTTTAATGGGGACAGTCCGATTTCTGGATTAATTCCTCGCAGAACACGTATCTGAAAATTTATCAATTTATCATAGCCATTAGATACGATTTATACTATAGCTAAACAAATCGCAAATCAATTAGTCAGTAACAATATCCAAAATTCATGATGAAACTTACTAAGAAAAAATATATTATACTATTCGTCGCAAAAGTGGCCTGGGAAGAAGCTATATTTTATGTTAGTAATTAATTTACGATATGAAATGGTATTGATAACAGTGTTAAAATAATTTTTAATACATTTTAAAAGCTTGTCTGTAACTTCATTGAAGATCTCTACAGCATGATCAACATTCATTTTATCGCCACGGCAATACTATGAGGTATTAAAGAGAAAAAAAATATTGTTGACTATTTCATCACAGGTATTACCTGGATACACGTATACTTTAGCGAGCCTATTATAACATACATCTTGAATTTTGCATAGCTTATTTTTTAATATGCTTCCCGTTCTTTCGATGAATTCTTTATTGTCTTTACTCTTAGAAGTTGTAGTTATACTCAATAATGGGAGGACTAGGTCCTATAAAAGCATAATTATTCCTTAAATTTAACAATTACCTGAACATGGGAATTGAACATAACAATATGCGCGTAACTTACCACAATTAAAGGACTAGATGGACATTGCTTAATGAATACTTCGATAAGATCCAGAACTCTAAAATAATTTACAGATTAATGAATTACCGAATGTTAAACTGATAGCTGCACTTATCACACTTAAATGTTTTAGTAAAAATAACGACTAACCTTAGCTTGTAATACATGATTGTGCGCTTGGTTTCTAAAAACGATAAAAAGATACTGTACCTTAAGCAAATCTTACATGAAATACAAACTTGAGAAGTGAAAGAAACACTAATATCCTGCTGGATAAAATTTTATACATTACATTATACCTTTTTTTGCTTTTCCATGACTTGCTAACTCTAATCGTTTCTTGAAAGCGGCAGAAAGAGCATCATCAAGTTTTAGCATTGTTTCGTCATCATAATCTGACAGACTTGCATCGCTGTCATCCTGTACCAAAAGGCTGATGACGTTAGTCATACACAAACAACAATCATATACCGTAGTATTGAAACTATCATCCTTATTATTTCCCTATTCCAAGCAAGGATACATTTACATTATATTAATTGATTGTTAAGATTCAACAGGCAAATTTACCTCCATGTCATCAGCGGCATCACCTAAAGCAGTACGGACTTCCTGTCGAAATCCTTCATCTATCGTTTCAGTTTCTTCCTCACTTGATTCCTCTTCATCATTTGATTCCTCTTTATTACTTAATTCTTCATCAAGCTGAAATAGTAAAACGATTGGTTGAACCGATAATTATACCAATGATGAATCATTGGAAATTCGTATAATTTATAGCTGTGGATTGTATGGTATATAATACAATGTGCAAAAGTTGTACATTAATGCAGTGCGTTTCTTACAGATTCAGCTTCGTCATCGTCTTGGAAACCTATATTCCAGAGTTCGAAAAACATAAAATTCATGCACTTTTCTATATTTAATATAAGGAAAATTTAAAGAATTTCCTCATACCTGATACAACTTCTACAGAAGATTCTTGACCCATTTCATTTTTAGGATCGATGATCTTCGAACGTAAGCAATTAATTGATTTTAGAAACAACGCTAAATCATTAAATTATAAAATTTCAACCACGAAAGATATGAAACTCACATCAGTTATAGATTTTAAGCCATCAGAAGTCAAGTGATTGCAAATAAGTTGAAATACGCTATTGCATAATGATCGTAGCATGCTAGATGGGTACGTCATAAGGCTAAGTAGGATCTCAGTCAAAACTTCAATCCATAGTGGTTCTATCGTGATATATAAAGTAATTAATTATGAGTTACATAAAGACAATATAACGTATAGGAAAATACAAGCTAAATTATATAAACCATTACATCTAACAAATACAGGTAATTAATCGATCAATCAATCAGCCTGATCTTACCTTTCTTTTTGCTATTAGCTTGTTTCTTTGCAGATAATTTATTATAGCAGACTTGCAATTCCTACAAAACAGATACCTCAGTTATATTCAACAAATGACAAAATAAAATTGTAATCGGGTATAAAATGTATTTGAAAACTTAAGAATACACACTTTAATTAGTTCAATAGAATTCTCGGTATTTTCAAAGATTGTAAGACCAAGATGAGAAAATAATACTTCAAAAGCAATACTTTCAGGTTTATTATCTTTAATAGACTAATAAACAAATAAGAAATAAAAACGAGTAGGTCATTAATCTCTAAACGTTGTAATCCGGGATATCGCAACAGTTAAACATGTATAGATATTAATACGTACTTTTTCGTGAATTCTTTTAATGATTGAGATTAAGTCATTGACGATATCATTTATCTAACCGCATAAAACAAAGTATTGTTTAACAAAATTCTAATAATAATAATAATAATTGCTAAGAGAAGATGTTGCCGTACCGAATTAGAGTGCTCGACTGATTCAATTAATTTACATTCCTGTTGATACAATTCCTATCACAGTAGATGATATAATTAACGATTAAATTATTAAAGTAAATAATATGAGATAAGCCTAATCGCAAAATTCGCATTACTCTAGTTAGCAATAAGATTTCATATCCCCAGTAAAATCCGTTACTCATTCGACCAGCCATTGGAAGCTGCTTTGGAGCACGTTTATTTGTTACGGAAGAAGTCGAATCAGAACAGCGGTTTGATAATTCGGCTAATGCACTTTGTAGACGTTCGCATAATACTTTCCTAACGACTTCCGAAATTTCCACAGCCTAAGGAGGAGCATCAATAAATACCAAAGATATAATTACAATTTGACTTAAATTGGTTATTAATTATGAGTGGCTTAATTTTAATGCCTTACCTTAATTGAATCGTCAATATCATTAGTGGTTGTAAAAAATGAATGAAATAATAAAAATTTTAAAACATCTACCACCCAACTTTCGTCAGTTGTTGATAACTTGTAGGACTTCATCAACGCTAACATCTGGACATAAAAAGAAACGGTAAGAAACAAAATCTGCTAGTAAGGACTGAAGGTAACTTCCTACTTGATTTGCGACCCATATTCTTGACTGCTCTAGTCCACATTTTTCCCTGTTCATTAAAACGATAACAGCATTATAATAGATATACATGCACACAAATATTTCGTACTATCAGCTACAAACCACCTACGTTGCCTGAAAAATAGTTTCATATCCAAAATTGAAGACGCTCTTTATCATTGAAAGATACGCCAACAAAGATTTCGACTGCATCTAGCAAGCCGCAAAGAGATTCGATATCTTTATTAATAACAGACGTGTGAAATTCATGTTTCAAATATATCGTACCTTAGCAACAATTGACTGTACAGTTTTGGTATGGGTGATACTATCAAAATTGATATGACCCTGACTAAAGGTTAAATTGATAAAATTGAATGGGTTAAATTTTTGCATTCGCATGTCATATCTTCCACATGAAAGTTTTCTTTAAGTGAACAAATATAAATCATAAGGAAATCACTCACTTGCTAATAAGTTGCTTAACAATATGAAAAGATAGGAGTGAATCGTCCTTTTCAGCAAAATTTTCAAGAAATGTAGCCTAATTTCCAAATCAGTGTCAATTAAGATATTAGGTACATCAACTAACTAATAACCTGTATTAGAATATCGTTTCAGACAATTTGAAGTGAAAATGACAGACCAAATGCTTAGCCGCATCATACAGATAGGCTTTAGTTGAGGATAACGAATTGATAAATGTCCGTAAAAACTCCTTAGATAGTACCACGTTAACCTAAGAATAGTAAATTGAATTTGAAAATCACTTACTAACGAACTAATCAAAATATAAATTCGATAGTGCAATTTATCGAAAGTAATAAATAAGAATTAAATGTTTTGTAAATTGCATTTTATTGCATGTATTGCCTGATCATCGCCTATTTTCGGTATAATGGCTTGGACGATCTTAAAGACTAAAAACTTTCGCTCGTGACTTGAACTTAGTAAAACATCTGCAAAAGATAAAAGCCACGTATACCGGAACATATTTACTATTCATTTATGGACCTCATGGATAATGATACATCTTACTTACTATTTATAACTGTATCCCAGAATGTGGCTAGCACGGAAAAGGAATTTTTTATATTATCGAATAAAAAATCTAAAACTTCTCCCCAGATGTTATGTACGCGTGGATGTGTATATGTTGAATCCTACAGATTTTACGAATCGGTTGAACATTAGCAATTTCCTATAAATCATCCATTCATTTGGTACTTTTTCTATGTAAGCAGTGTTTTAAATTAGCCAATAAGAAATTGCTATGATCGGGATGATTTACTGGTATATATGATAATATTGATTATATGACATGGCGAAATTGCAGTAGCATCGTTCCTACCTTTAGAATATCAGCCATCTTTGCATAATTTTTAGTATCAAATACTGGTGTATCACCCCAATCTTTTGATAAGAGTTTCTGATATGGCTTGTTCTAGAAATTATAATTATGCGCTATGATGAACCGTGTATACATACATGGTTAAGCTTATTGCGATAATAGTGCTTATAATGATTAACAAAACTGCTGTTAACGCAATTTTCTCCTATTATGACTAAGTGTTACATGGCGTAGCATTTGGAGACGATAACGTTTGTAGCGTCTCATAAGATATAGTCCAGTTTACTCATAATATGATATACCATGGTAGCAATGGATGAGGATATGTGGATTTAACTGGGTAATAGCACCATTGCAAGCTGTTAGTGTATGAGTAATTGCGACTAAAATCATAATTACTCTACCATTCATTACCTTATATGCTTTCTCGATGCAAAGAACAACCATTAGAGCCTCAGGTGTCGTTTCATTCCATCCTTTCTGAAGATCAGTTTGTAAAATAGGTGCAATATGCCTTACAAATAGCTTAAAAGGGACCTATTTAATAAATTATCATAAATTTTATCACGATGCAGATTTATAGAACCTGTAATAGTGACACTACGTGAAACACTAGATTGCGATTTTATTACCTTTTTAATTATATCAACAATTCCTGTAATAGCAATCTCTCGTATATAATTTTTCTCTTTGCTTAATTGGAACAAATTCTTTGTCACCAGAACCAAGTCATTAGCATCGGCTTCCTACAATATTAAAACAGATAGGAGCTCTTTATTGGAAAATTTAGATTCTTACAAAATATATAATAAGATTAAATTACTTACAGTTCTCATATCAACTGTCAGTAAATTATCTAGCAGAGACATCTAAGCTACACGATAGTTTGTACATACGATACGGTATTTTTATAACCTTGCCAGCTATGGTAAGTACTGATACGCCAGAAGACTTACTTTATCTTATATTTACGAACGTTGCTTTGATATCAATTTAATAAGTACGATAGAATGCTAGTAAAGCCTTCGTGGTAAATTATGTAGGAATATTGAAGTATGGAAGCTGTTACATTATATTGCTATAGCGATAGGCTAATTAAATTTTTAGATTGTTGCATTTTATACTAATTCAGTAGTCTATGAGCTACGTTATTCACCATATGATTCAGGAGCAATGGCTCAATTAGGTAATAAATAGATCTACTATTAACGTACCGTAAGATCAAATGTAATCGTACGTTAATTAGTATTTAATACCCGTAGTGATCATGACCAAGTAGTAAGTAACTACTTAAGATAGATAGATTTATGCTTGAATTAATATTTGGTTATAATTATTTAAAATATTTAATAACACTCGTATATTGTACGAGTATAATATTAACGATTAAATAACAATATTTTTTTATGATTCTAGTAACTAACGTGGAAATGTTCTATGATTACATTTATTAATGAAAAGAATTAGACGAACCATATGATATAGTCTACCGGAAGAAATAATGCATAAGTTCACGAAGACTTGGCCAATGTAGTTATTTCTTTTCTCCTAATAGGATAATTACGACAATAATGCATTCATTACTCATTAAATTACGGCTACTTAAGTATTGAACTACTAACGTATCAATGCACAACTTACTGGATAATACTATATATTAAGTATTCAAGCATCAACTTTTCGATATTACAATATGATTGCAAGTACTCTAACCTCACTCTTAGCTGAATGGGTAACAATTAAATGTTCGGAAGACAGATGCAAGACACTTTCTATGGATACCTCGCGGAACTGTTTCAGTACCTGCCAATAAAATTAATCAATCAATCAATAGAAACTGAATGAGCTATCGGTAGTATAAAATGACGTAACTGGTTTACACATGTATAACTCACGTACTTCTGCAAGTAATGTAGAAAAGCCAAGTCTTGCAGCTTTCCTAAAGGATCCAAGACCTTTAACTAATCGCTGTACGGTATACTGGAGTTCGTTGCATAGCCGTTTGTCCAGCTAAAACAACATTATTAGACAAGATAGTTAATGCTCTATTGCAGAAATAGCTAAACTTCATTTATAAATGCTTTGATAAAGATGTTTTGCATTTGAGATATCTCTATGAACGCATCGTAGTTTATCTGATTACAACGTTCATAGGCTAACAGTAGTGCTTATAAGTTATCATTCCACTCGAGGTGAAATCAGCACTGTACTTTGGATAATGCGGTCCGGTGAGATAGCGTACTGTATGAACATTAATTCATTATCATGAGGTCAACGATGTTGGTACAAGTACATCAGTATTCATTCTCTAAACAGTTATTATTTATCGACAGTATTATGAAAAGAGAGCATTCATTGATGGAAAGATATCTACATGTATGTAATGTAATACGAGAGAATAATTGATTATGCACTTTTAGTAGAAGAAATTCCTAGACCTTATCATAGTAATCATGCAATGTTAAATTATACTCATGCACAAACATGCGCGAATGTATGGCGCAGCGAAAAGCTGCAAACCAGGAAGGAACTATATGAAATGAAATTAGAACTACTGTCAACGTAATATCGTTCTTACTTTAATACTCCTCATCAGCTATGAGCTACTATCCACATTTGAGAAAATGACAGTGTAGATATGCAGAAATATACTAAGGTACAAGGCTCATTACAGTTATTCGATGATTTCTTATTATAGCACATTGTATGTTAATGCAAATTTCGGTAAGCAGGATTTTCAATGCTAATGTAGCAATAATTGAAATTCATTATTACAATGTAACGTTAGTGTTGATACCTGCATGTTAGGCTGCTTTTGCTCGCTGTATTCTTTCTGCAGTCGTAAGACTACTGTAAGAATGTTTTCAGCAGATAGCAACCTTTCGTCTTCATCAACAGATGCTAAGGTCCAGAAATAGGGTAAGATGTCATTCTGTGCATCACTATTAAGGCGTACTTTCTTAGCCATTTTGAATTCGTTGAAGGAGATACAAGATGTAGTGACCTCAACCGGAGCAGGTGACGTGCAATTCTTCAACCTTTTTGGTGTCAGCTCAAAGCAGAATCTGCAGTACTGTCCTATACAGTAGTACCAAAGCAGTACCGAGTCCTATACTGTGCTAACCAAATCATTGTGACCACAGTGGTTAACTTAGTACAGTACTAGTAGGGGGCAGATCGCGACTCACGTGCCTCATTCTGCTGTACAATGTACAGTACCATCTTTTACAGTACTGTATACTGTGCACGAGTGACTTCTACTGTATACTGTACTGTACTGTAGAGTAAATTCATCTTATTAGGAGTTTCCGATTGCTAACTGCAACGTGGCTATTCGCCATTATAGCATTTCATAGATCTCTTGCATCTTTCGTGCATTTACCATTTACTGAATTCAGTTTAGTTAATGCACTACGTAGTACAAAGGCATTGAGAACAAGCCAAATCGTTGCAAACATACAAAAATTTTAATATTTCTCAGCGGCATCTAGCTGGTTTTATCGCTGGGTTTCGGCGTCAAACTATCGTTCGGTCAAATTTGTTCGATTTGACTGAAATAATCGTCTTCCTGGTGTAAAACGGTATCGTTCATAAACGTAAATTAATGACATAGTAACAAAAATAGACTGATTTCACTCAACTTAGCAACAACAGATTAACATTTTCATATGGTTAACCGCTGATGCAACGCCCTCTTTCCGTCGAAAACCGAAATCTAGACCGACTACTATAGAGTTGATGATAATAATAATTTTTAGAGATAAGAACTCAAGAAACTCATTCATTCATGCGATACTTGAGAATTTAGTACTGTTAATGTAGCTGTAACAGTAGAGAGATGATTCCTATTGATGTACCGCAGATTTACTCTTCCATTCAACAATGACCACTATTGCAAGTACTTGTATTTTGATATTTCTTTATCTATTCACTATTGCCTTTGCAACTGGAGACCGTTATCAACGGTTCCCATCGTTAAAGGCGATCAAACCATCCACAGATGAAATTACTCAGCGAAATGCTGTGAAAGACTTAATTGCAACATTACTCCATGAAAGAGCTCAAGAATTAGATATTAAGATTAATAATAGTATTCCAAAGTTAAGTCCTGACGCTTTCGAGCTCGATTCAGATGATAAACAAATCTTGATTACTGGCAGTAGCGGAGTTGCTGCTGCTTTTGGTGTTCATCATTATCTTAAATATTATTGTAAAGTTCATTTATCTTGGACTGGTGATCGATTGAAATTGCCTCAAACTCTACCAAAATTGAGTCAAAAAATTCATGTGGAGATTAATCAAAAATTTCGATATTATTTTAATGCTTGTACTTTTAGCTATTCTATGGTATGGTGGGATTGGCAACGATGGAAAAAAGAAATTGATTGGATGGCATTAAATGGTATTAATATGCCCTTAGCATTAACTGGTCAAGAAGGTATCTGGACCAAAGTATACAAAAAGCTGGGCTTAACGTTCGCTGATTTGGATAATTTTTTTACCGGCCCAGCATTCTTAGCTTGGAATCGAATGGGTAATATACAACGATGGGCTGGTCCACTACCTCATGATTGGATTAATAAACAAATAACGTTGCAAGTCAAAATCTTAGATCGTATGAGGAAATATGGCATGTTACCGATCTTACCAGCTTTCAATGGTAATATTCCAAATGCTTTAACTAAAATCTATCCCAAAGCTAAAATTGTCAAAAGTTCCCCTTGGTTCGGTTTTAGTAAGCGCTACGGCGAGACTGCTTTATTAGACCCTAGAGATAAGCTGTTTATAGTTATTTCAAAGTTATTTATTGAAGAAGAAATTAAAGCCTATGGTACTGATCATTTATATAGCCTTGACCTATTTAATGAAATTGATCCGCAATCCAAGGAATTAGAATATCTAACTGCTGTTAGTAAATCAGCATATTTAGCTTTAAATTCTGCCGATACTAAAGCTGTCTGGATTATGCAAGGATGGATGTTTTATAACGATAATTACTACTGGGAAAATAAACGAATACAAGCATTTCTATCGCCAATACCAAAAGGACGAATCGTTATATTAGATTTATTTGCGGAAGTTGAACCTCAATATCATCGTAGCAACTCATTTTTTGGTCACCCATTTATTTGGTGTATGCTTAATAATTTTGGTGGAAATGCAGGGATGTACGGTACGTTTGAAACCATAACAGAAGGTGCAATTTCGGCCTACGATATGAAAAATTCAACCATGATTGGTACTGGTATGGCACCAGAAGGTATCGGAAATAATTATATTATGTATGATCTAATGGCTGAAATGGGATGGAGGAAGATTGCGGTTGATGTTCGCGATTGGGTTGTTGTCTATACGGAACGTCGCTATGGTGGACTAGACGAGAATATTATTAAAGCATGGCTTCGATTAAGTGAAACGGTCTACAACTGTAATGATATGAGACAATACCATTGTCGAGCACTACCAGCTGTTAGACCGTCGTTAAAAATCGCCAACGATGTTTGGTACAGTGCTGATGATATTTTTTTTGCTTGGGAACATATGTTAAGAGCGAATAACGAATTCATCTCCGAAGAAACATTTCAGTATGACATCGTGGATGTGACACGTCAGGCTTTACAAGAATTAGCATTTATAATGTATAAGAAGGTAACCCAATGTTACCATGATAATAATCAGGAAACGTTGAAAACAGCTGGAGGTGAATTGATTGAATTATTCACTGATATGGATACACTATTAGGAACGAATTCACATTTCCTATTAGGGCGCTGGGTAGCAGATGCATTACAGCATAGTAATAATATATCAATTAAACAACAACTGCGATTTAATGCTCTAAATCAAATAACACTGTGGGGTCCATCTAAATCAATATTGCATGATTATGCTAACAAAATGTGGAATGGGCTAGTTGATAAATTCTATAAAAAGCGCTGGTTAATGTTTATTAAAGCGCTATCAGATTCCATTTCTAATAATATTTTATTTGATCAGCAGAAATTTAACCTCGCTGTACAGAAATTTGAAGCGGCTTGGGCAAGTGAAAACAATACATATGCTACCACTAGTAGCGGTAGTAGCGTAACTGTATCGAAGCAATTATTCTCAAAATATAAAAAAAACATCGAAAAATATCGACAATTGCAAACTTGATATTACAGATCATATAATACTTATTAATTTATAGAAACTGTAAACTTGAGAAATGTTGTATTATACTGTTATACACAAACATCAACAATCTTTAGCGCTCTTATCAAGCGTCCTTCATGATTACCGATATCAAATACAAGTATTTTCAGTAAATGCACCAAACGACAAAACAGAGTTAGGAAGAATTATAATTATTATTACCAAGATTCATAAATATGATACTAATGAATCAGATAAATTTGTAAGTTCGAATTCTGTACAGTCTAAATGATGGATGAACTTATTTGCCATTACTTAAAGTATCAGTTTATGCAGATTAATTAATTAATTATATACATTATATATATAAATATATATGAATTACATATAATTACAGGTGAAGGTAATTAGTTACTCACACTGTTATCATAGTAAATCTATTAATAAAATATGCTCAAATATTTATGATTAATTTGATATAGACAGAACTCCGATATCGTATTATTACTGACTATATAAGACTATTTTCCTAGCTATAAATCCGCTAAATGGCTATTAAGAATAGTTAACCTTCTGTAAGCATTATGTTGTAGCTTTAAATAATTAGAGTTACTTAATTAACGTGTTTGTTGGAGTAATTGTATGAGTACGTAGTTGACTACAGCATCACTATTGTTTACAGTTAATACTATCTTACAAAGTGTATAGTTCATTTTATGCATGAACTAAAACCTCACGATAATAACCCAAAGTATGAGCGTTGTAGGTGCTTTTCAAAAAGCAGAAGGTAAATTTCGAATCTTTATGAAATAGGATACACAGAATCGATCCCTTAAACTTCAATAATTAATAAAGTAGTATATTGTGATTACATACCACTGTTACTCTGAGTATGATAGACAAGCACAGTACTCGTACGCATAATTCATACACTAGGCCTTTCATAATTCTCTTAGTATTCTCGACGCTACCTATGGATGCCCACCTCTAGATAGTGTACTGTATACTAATAAATATACATTTGCATGCAAGTCTATTATCAATTTGATTACGTGGTAAATTTGTCCAATTTCACTTATAAAAATATCTTTTGCTATAAAGGTTTAAGTTACTGCCGATTTGAAATTAATATTAATAATATTAAGGGAACTAGTACAGTAATTACTGTATAATACTGTTACTACAGTTTCTGCCTGCATTTGCATATTATTGTTTTATATAGTAGTGAGGCACTATTCAATACTGTGTGGGGTGGTTTAGTACCGTGCGGTAATGAGTACCTTTCATTTGTAGTAGTCCCAGATACAGTACGAAGTAAATCATCCCATAAACTGTATCATAGCAACAGCGCAAGCAGAGTATCTATGAATGTTTTGTTAAACTGTGAAAACAAAATATGAATAACTTCTATAGAAGACTGCAATTCTGCAAATACATCATAGAGAATAAAGTGTAAATTTATCCGCTGTATGCGTTAGTACACGAGTACATAGGTACATACAGTTGTAAAATTAATCCTTACTAATAGTGCAGTACCAACCTGATACTCGATGATCAGTTTACATTTTATATGAACTTCAAGGATACTATGTGCTAGACTGTGATTTCGAATTTCTGGGATACCTATACGGAATAATTACATAAAAACAAGTAAGTAATGATTGATAGTTTTTTAACTTAAAAGACCAGAAATCGTGTAAGTGCTAAACTATCATGTTAAGACGATTGCAAATTTAAATTCATTACATCAGCTAGTTCAATAACATATTTAAAGCACATCTTTCGTAGTAATTTCTTTAAATATGAAATAATTGACGCTTGGAATATTTCTAAACTCGATATTATAGGGATTGTAATATCCGTAAGCAGTATAATGGAAGCAAAAGAGGGTGTTGAAATAAGCAGTCGGGAATCGAACGATCTTGGAGCGTTATCTGAAGAACAGCAACAGAAATTGGATCAATTGAAAGTCAGTAATATATAGATAGTAACCGCCTATAGATAAATTTTTCCTTCAAATTATACAGCATTATTATTTAGAAAACGACTCGTTACAATTTGATTTCATAAAGTTATCTTGTTTCTATAATTATTATAATTTAATAGATTAAAATCAGACAAGAGAACGAACATTATTTTCGGAAGCATCCAGAAATACAGCTAATGACAGCTGGTGTAATGAGGTAATTTCCTTCTAGATTAACCATGAGGCTATCGATTATATTTACATTCTAGTATGAAGCTCTAAAGTAAAATTGATAGCTAAAAGGTACTTACACTACGAAAATTACCGAGATTGTACTGTCTTCATCACGAAGGCAATATGCGACTCGAGCATAATACTGTATTACAGTAATATAAAATAGTATTTAATACTTTGAAATACTGACATACTATAGATCAGACTTCATAGAATTATGCTATACAACTCATTAAATAAAGGATGTATCTACCGTATGCACATTATTTTTTATCGCATTTTATGCAATCTGTTTGAAAATAGTGTTTATGAAAGCTGTAATTTTTTGCACCGTCGGCGTTGTAAATCGTGAACACATAGTTAGTCCCCAATATTTCGAGTATCTTCATAAAAGTGAAAAGAGAATTATAATGGAATAAGAGCAAGAAAGACACTTCTTTACATTAGCAGTTTATCGACATTTACATCAGAAATCAAATACGTAGTGGCAATTGCATCGTCAAAACGTTCAGAATAATCGTTTTATTGCGCTCAATAGACTGATTCTTTACATTTGCTTTTCATCAGTATTTATGTGAAATTTATATCTTCTAACGATATAAGTTTATTGATTGCAACTATAGGCAGCTTCATAGCTTAATTATTAGTCTATTTATAGAAATTATGCCCATAACTTTAAACAACAACAAATTTGGATCATTTGCAACCTTCGTATTATAGATGTGCAGTACAAGCAAAGTTATTTACTGTTCATTAAAGTATAGTTATTAATTGACATAAACTTACTACAGCAGGTGCATTTTAATAGGTACAACTTTATTCAGTCTTTTATACTTTAAGTTATGCTCAATAAATCAATTATTATTAATTTCTTCTCAGGGACATTCTCAACAAGCAGCCAGATGATCCACAGACTTTTATTGCATGTAAGAGCGTCAGATTCAATATTGTACTCCATTCATTTGCAATGTATTAATTATCGTAATCGAGAAACCAGCAATATACGCGTATTATACTGTATCAAGTTATCCTTTTACTTTATTCTATTTAGCCTACATTAAGTTACGATATCACGACTATCTTATATTGTGAATTTAATTTCTATATATTTTCGCTGAGGACTTAAGTTTCGCTTTTATTTTAGCTTATTTTACAGACCCAACACTAAACGGTAGGATTAGTAACCAAGTACAAGAAAGATCATTAAATATTAGGAGAAACAGCCGCAAGTTATTGAATAAATAATCTGCTATCCTCAACTATTGAAGTGATTGTACTGTCGTATCAATTATATAAATATTGGCTATGAATGCATAGAATACGATAAACTGATATGCAATATAACAAGGTAGTATACTGAATTTGCATTGTACAATATTACAATTATAGCCTACGTATGAAATGTAAAATGTACGGTAATGTCGTGTATCGTAAGATATGATGATACTGAATTACTGATGCTCTTTTAATTTTCTGATGGCATATATATAATTACATGTAATCTAATTAAAATAGAATCAATTATAATTATTACGATTGAATAATTCCAGTGTATTGCTTTTCCGTTCATCTAAAACTTTACATTATACCAAATAAATTAAGCACATGTATATTTCTATTTTAGCGATTTTTTATTAGTAATGATTAGCTTTGCATTTATATAGTGAATATCCGCGAATTTAAGTTGGGTGTGATGCATAATATAAAATATAGATTATAGTATGCGCGTACGCGTATGAAGGGTCGTTTGGGGTTGTTTTATTATAGTGCATAGTCATTCTCGAAGAAGTAGATAAAAAAAAGCATGCCTATTATCTCATCGTACTCTAACTATTGTACGATTATAAAGCATGTTATACCTGATAAATGAATATTTTAACAATTCATCTACCTATTAAGTTTCATCTCCCATGGAATTCACGTCTGACCTGAAGTTGATAGTCAAATTATTATCTCTATCTATACTATACAGTATATTCATATTTGACTGTCCGAATTTTGTACTTTGCAAGAAACTGACATACTGTATATATCCTGTATACTGATCGTGAGTAATTTATTCACCGGTCTTGTAGTTATTCTACAGTATATTAAATAACATGACACAGTACTCGTACTGACAGTCTATCACAATCAGAACGTGAAATAATCACTTACTCCATATAGTACGTATGAATTTAAGGAGTATGATATTATGATCGTATGAATTCTATATGTTCTTACAAGAAATTGACGTATATATCCCGTACACTGATCGTGAGTAATTTATTCGCCGGTCTTGTAGTTATTCTACGCTATATTACATAACATGACACAGTACACGTACTGACAGTCTATCACAATCAGAACGTGAAATAATCACTTACTCCATATAGTACGTATGAATTTAAGGAATATGATATTATGATCGTATGAATTCTATATGTTCTTGCTACCCACTCTACAACTTTCTGTGTATGCTACAAACAAGGACTTCTAAACGAAAAGAGAGTGTATCAAGGATTTTGGGGTTATGTTCAGGCACTCGGAGCTACTTTGTGCTACTGTTGTGTGATCTTCACTCTCCGTTTAGTCTGTTGCATACTATTATGTGTAGTGTTGCGGGCCCCTCTAGCCCTAGAGTTCTAGTCATACAGCGCATATACAGTACTGTACACAGTACAGTACAGTACAGTATGGTGACCATTTTTACCTCTGTAAGGAATATGATATTATGATCATATGAATTCTATATATATAACATATATATGTTCTTACTACCAACTCTACAACTTTCTGTGTATACTACAAACAAGCACTTCCAAACGAAAAGAGAATGTATCAAGGATTTTGGGCTATGCTCAGTAATGCTCAGGCACTCGGAGCTTCTTTGTGCTATTGTTGTCTGCTCTTCACTCTCGGTTTAGTCTGTTGCATACTAATATGTTTAGTGTTGTAAGCCCTTCTAGCCCCTAGAGTCTAGTCATACAGCGCATGTACATGGCCCATCAAGGCTACAAGCTACAGTGCGCCTAGTGCTTTACAGTATACAGTACTGTACTTGTACTGTATGTACTGTACGTACTGTACAGTACAGTCCACTCAGTGTACAGTACAGCATTGTAATGGATGTACAGTACAGTACAGTACAGTACGCATAGAGCTGCATATTCGTGTTCACTTCCCTTTCCTTCAGCCATTCAGGCCAGGTCGCAAGAAATTGCAATCCCTTGACTAGTAGATGCCTAACCAGTTCCGCTGATTGCTTTATATTGCTCTTGCTTTCGTCTGGCTAACTACAAAAACAAGCTTTACACTCATGTTCATGGCCAAGGATGCAATGATGATGAGTTGGACAAAGACATTGACAGCCTTCCTTACAGCTGTCGTGATTGTAATGTCTTGTATGACTCCATGTGATGGCTCATATGCTTTTCAAGCTTTTCGAATGCAGCAATATCAATTGCATGGAGTATCTTATGGTATTACCTTGAATAATATTGATATTTAAATCCTGTTTTTGACCGTTTTAACTTTTCCTCATGATGACAATGATTAATCTTGATTATCTATGCTTAATACCCTTCTTTCTTTTTGAAAAGATTGAATTCATGATGCCTTTTTTATTGCAATTTTATAAATCAATCAAACCATTCAATTGGAATTCAACTTTGTTTTTAACAGGCTGTAAAAGTGCTCTTGTCAATATGGAAGTACGTTTAGCAAATTCCGATTTAATTCTGCGCCGATGCATTTTTATACGTATAGCCGATTTGACTATTGATAAATTTCAAGCCCTAATCAATAATGGGGCTGGAGCGATAGTTGTACTATTACCGTCCGAATTCTACACCTCACCCATGGAAAATAGAAAGGTATGCACACTGTACAAATAGTGCTGGCTGCGCTAGATTGAATATTGGCCTAATGATTATTTCATAAAGGTTAACAAATACCTCTGTAGTAGCATAGTATGCTTGGTTCTAACACTGATCAATAATCCTACCTAAGGCTTCATTAGACATCGATTCGGTAGAATGTCAACTAGTAGGAGACTTTTCAATTTACAACCTACTCTATCGGCATAATGTAAACTTTAAAGTGATTCCAATGAACCTACAACCTCTCCAACAATTGCTATATTAATCATAATTATAAACTAGGTATCGTAGCACTGGAAAATAATTCTTTTACAGTAATACGATATGTACATTATACCTTTGTTTAGTCTCTACGACTATGCGACAAAAGATTATGGCTAAAACTTTGACCAATAAGCATTTTATTCCTTATTTTCTCTTTATCAAAGCTGCTGGCTTTTGAGAAAAAATGTATTCATCTGTGTCTGTGTGCAAATACAGTAGCTTATATAATAAATTTATCGCCTTGTAGGACTGGCTGGAATTAGAGCACCAAATTATGGAAGAAGAAGTGCCCGTACCAGTGTATTTCACCGTTGAAGATGCAAACTTAACATCGATATATACAGAAATACAACAGTCTGCAGATGCCACTTCTGGATCGACAGCAATAGCAGGTAATAATCCCTATTTACTATTGTTCATATAGTCAAGAACGTCACGTGAAAATTTGTCCTATTTTATGCTAACTCTTAAATTATCAAATAGAAGATTGAACTGCAGTACTAACATTTACATTTCAATTAATTCAATTTATCTTTAATTCTTCGTAGCCATTCTTGATTCCGTTGCAAGCTTTGGTTACCAAATCTACAGTGATGGTAAAGAATCTAAACCAGACAGCGATGCAAAATTAGTCAATTTTTACGTAAGTTATTTATTTAGAGCGTTTCTCAATATATTATAGTAAAACATGCATACTACAATATATAATTTAGTACTTTAATATCACGTATATTACAATGATACTTTGGCTAGTTAAGCTTTCCATTTAGTGATAAATAATAATAAAGGGCTATGTCTGCTTATGTATCATTCTAGGGCAAGCTGATAGGATTTGGTATAGAAGAACAACTTCCTACTATAGCATTTGTAACACACTACGATTCTTTTGGAATCGCACCTGTAAGACTGTTTAACAATTTGAGCTTATGTAACTATTCTTTCCATGAAATACGGTTTATTTTTTAAAACTGCGCCTTTGATAGACATAGATAGTGATGAACAACATCTCAGTGCTGCAAGTAAAGCAGTTACATAAAATTAGGAACCATTAATGCAATATATAAAATCTATTCTAACTATCAATTATACTATTACATGATTATTTGAAATATCACTTCTGCAACTCTAGATTCATTGTTGATACTTAAGAGTTACTTTATGTCGTTAATAACTTATTTCAATTGCTTCTGTAACACGAATAGGGACTGGCGTACGGTTATGATACTAACGGTAGTGGTGTTGTTGCTCTTTTAGAACTTGCTCGATTATTTTCAAGGTTTTATTTGCTTCGATCAATGATAGTGTTTAAGAGTTTTAAGTTTAATTATTTACCTAATTCCATATTCTGTATATTTCAGTATGTATAAATCTGGGAAAATGCGATCAAGGTATGATTTCTTGTGAAGAATAAGTTTACTGATGTATAGCGATAAATAGTATTGACGCTCACATATCTTCTATTAGATACAACTTACTCTTTGTCCTCACGGCGGGTGGAAATTTCAATTATCACGGAACAAAAAAGTGGATTGAAGAAGAATTAGATTCTGCAGGTATTAGTGTAGATTGATAAATGGAAAGAGATACGTACTATGATGTAATCTCCGCTGAATCCTTTGTGACCTAGATTCCAACCTATTGACCGACGTTGACTACGTTGTATGTATCGATTCCATTGGTCGTTCAGAAAATTTACATCTCCATGTATCGAAACCACCTAAGGAAGATACTGCTGGTTATGCTCTTGTAAAGGTTAATTTATATACGTGATTAGCATTATTTTTGTGAAGTCTACACGCTAATATCAGCAAGTACTATATCATGAACCGTTATAGGAATTCAAACAAACTGCTGAAATGCTTGGTATCAACTTCACGATGATACATAAGAAGATTAACTTAGGAGAGGATTTGCTTTCCTGGGAGCATGAAAGATTTTCACTCAGACGTCTGCCTGCCGGAACAATCTCACACTTTAATCATCACGTAGATAAAGGACGGCGAACTATCTCGGATACTAGGTCAGCATTAGTGGTCTAAGCGATCATGTAATAGTTAACTTGTTATCATGCTATTGTAATAATTTATAGCTAATCAGCACCTTCTCACGGCAGATTCGAAGCCAATGTTGATATCATTGAGAAAAATGTAAAATTTATTGGAGAATCTGTTGCACGCTATATATTTAACCTTTCATCTCAGGTAAATTTTAATGAAATATTTTATAGTTCACTCTTTATCTCGCTGATAATTATAACTTCAGTCATAACCCTACCTTTTAAGAATCTCCTACTTTTATCGTTACTTGTAGCTACAAGAGCAGCAATTTCAATTATTAACAGATGAACTGGTTTGTGCTGAATTAATACATATGTATAGTGACTGCTTCATCTAACGCATATTTGATGGTTAAACGATATTGCATGCTACCTATTTAATGCAAATTTGTACAATTTCTATTTAAGTCATTACATCGTGATTTCATCGAAACCTGGATGCATCAACTTACAAAGCAGCCCAGAGGAGCGCAATTATTCGGAAAAGATCATAATTTATTGAATGCTTTTGAACAGGTACCATAAGATTTTAACTTATTATTTCTGTCCGCCGAGTAAAATTTTTACACTTTAATTTTATTACTGCTTAGGTCATGACAGCCCACCTAAAAGATGTGAAAAAAATTATCATGCGCCCTGATAAAAAGTACAATTAATTTTTGATCAATAAATTAAAGTTACTGCATATAACTATAATGATTTATTGATGATTATATAGTATTTTCTGCGTAATACTTTACTTAATTAATAACGTGAACGTACTAATAAAAAAATGTTTCAAATGTTGCATAGGGACCCGGAATTCATATTTTATGATTCTTCACTAATGCAGTTACATGCATACAGGTAATATTTAGCTAATAAGCTCTTGTACAAGATACCTTGTTGAATATATTAATGAAACAATCATTACATGTGACATTGACTGAATTTTTACGATTACACCATTGGTAGGGTCAAGCCAGCTTTATTTGATCTCTTCCTAGCTGTTGGAATTGCCGCATATGTTGGGATTGTATATCTCATCGTTCAGGTGATACTAATTACCAAATACATCACTCCCTAAAAGTCTCGCGATATGTGTATTAATCGTCTAAAAAATGTTTTGGTCTAAAATACACCTGATATCACTCTTATTAACCTTAACCTTAATAACTAATTTCTGTCATTTGTTTCAATAGAATATGCCAACTGTTGCTGGAATTCTGGCCTATTTTGCGATTAAGTCAAAATCAAAATCAGATTAATGTAAAGTACGAATCCCTTAAATTAATCTGTTTAGTAAGTTACGAATATTTCCGAGCTATCTGCTGTACTTTTTTATCCTTATGCGATAAGTGTAAATGATCACTACTGTTGTGGTACTTTTGTTATTGCAAATTTTTGTATACAACCGAAACTATAAAACTACTTTGCATGCAGATAATTGTTTTACATAAATATTTAAAGCTGGAAAATGTTATACAGTGACATACACAGCTACGAGGGGAATAAAATTGGACTACCGGAAGTAAAAATTATCTATTACTATGAAAGTCTACTCCGGCAGATGATCCGTATCTCGATAGATTTGAATCGTTACTGTGAACGCGATGACAATAAGTTCTGAATATGCGTTCAGGACTTTATCTCTATAAATTATAATTACTATAAGAGTGCGCTTATCCTATATAAGCAATGCAGTAAATACCACTGCCTCCTCTATATCTCTGGCAGTAGTTCTACTTTCAGCATTTTAAGATAATTAATTGCAGAAAATTTATTAAAACAGCACGTATACAGGTTTGTGGGCAAATCTCATTATATATATATATCGGCCATTACGCGTATTGGCCAACTTCGGACATTGGCCGTAACCTATATGTACGCGTATGCTGTACTTCAGCGTTGTTAATAGAGTAGTCTAATTGCCTAACTTGATTCATTTTTTTGAGGCTATATACGGTGGTATGTGTACAATATTAATGAACAGCGTACTTGTACGTGTACCGTAGCTGGATATTGAACGATGATTAGTCATATTATGTTAGTAATAAAAGCCTCCAGCTAGAAGAAATCTTCGATGTTAACTAAATAATCGCCTCAATAGTTAATTTACAAGATTGAGAGTCTTGATTGTATCAATTGCACAAGACCCTGCAATAACAGCATAGTGTGTATTAGAGGTTCGGGTAGTGGTACAATATTGTTCATTGACATTTCTTAGATTTGGATAATCTTAAAGGCATGATCGGCCAGGCCAATCTTTGGACTAACGAGTAATACATACTGTATACTAGTATATCTACCCACTCCTTCATCTGTGTTGTTCTTTGCAAAACAAAGCAAACAGCAATATCTTAAAACAGATAAATACATGGTTACTGCCTTGGAGTACCTGGATGGACTAGAACATTCCTTAGGATTATCCAATTCTAAATGTAGTCATACGTATGGACTCAACACTATTCGCTTCGTACATACAGTAATCGTATCGATGAGATCATAACTACGCGTATTTACATACAATATAGAATGTCAATACTGATCTCTGATCAGAACCACGTCTATTTTGCCAGAAACTACAATAGTAGGAAAAAAAGATTTATAAAATCTACTGTCGTAGACTCAACACACATTCTACCCTGAGTATAGTATGACTACATGAAGCATTCCTTAAAGCGTTCGGCGCTTGTGGGAGTTTGAGGGTTGTACAATGGACACCATCAAGTTGGTAGTATCAAATGTATAGCATTAAATGCTGTGCAACTTTTCTTACTCACATGATTTTGACTACAATAGCAAAAGCCATGCACCCCTGCTGCGTGTTTACAAAGATACAGTAACTGGACGCAAAGGATATGACAGGGCCTACTAAAAAAAGAGACGGAAGAGGAAACGGTTGTTCACTCTAGTAATAATTTGGTGGCTGATTATTTTACTGGTCATTCCAACTGTATCGCATGTCTGTAATAGTACAGTACAGACACTATCCTGTCCGCGATTGATATCCAAATTAGCTGCTATTAGCCCGCTAGTTGGTTTGAATTAGTTTTAACATTTAAGCAGTATAATACAGTATACAGTTTCCTCGGTAGCGTATAGTAAAATCACCCCCCAAAATAATAAGCCTCTATATTATTTTGCACTGAAGCCGTCTCCTGCCCCTTCTTTTTAGTAGTCCATGACATGGCCTATTATTAATTAAGTAAACACAAGAGGTGAAGAGGTAACAGCGTACGTACAGTGCAGTACCGTGTTGACAAAACCCCTGACAGCACAGCAGTAGTAAGTAGCTACCGTTGTGGACAGGTTGTCATTTAATTATCATCCAAGTTGTTGATCCGTACACGGGAAAAAAAAATCTACAATGGCTTCTCCTTTCAGCCCAAATCCAGAGATCAAGTACACTAAAGTAATTGCAATAAAGATAGTCGATAATATGTCAATGATTAGTTAATTGGAGATTGTTTGACATTATCAATTAACATTGTTTAAGATTTCTTTTTCTAAGACCTTGTGCCGTACTTGTCTAGACCTTTTTCTTGTCTTTATTCCATCCGGCTTATTAATTTAAGCGGATAGGCATCAATAACACTTAGATGGACTCGACTAGTTTTTACAATGTTAGATTAAGGCTATCTATTCACTCCACAGTTGTTATTGCTTTTTGTAGATATTCATTAATAATGAATGGCACGACTCTGTTAGTGGTAAAACTTTTCCAACTTTTAACCCAGCAACTGGAGAGAAAATTTGCGATATTGCCGAAGGCGATAAGGTATCTCATTTTTTAAAGTATCATATTTATTATTTTACTAAACTACAATCAGTAGACATAAACTACGCGTATTAAGTTCATTATAATTGAATGATGATAAAGCGTTCGCATACTACTGTAGTAAAATCGCCAAACTTGAATGTGGAGATGCTAAGCCGCTTCGCATTTGTAACGACCTACAGTACAGCAATATTATTTTCGTATCAGATATTTCAGTAAAAGTATAAATGAAATTTATTGCTATCTATCGGTATAAACTATTGTATTCGCACGTTAGTTTTAATTCCATTTTTTCCCAGTTATTAAAGTATCTGAAACGAAATTAAAGACACTGTAGTACGAGATGACTACATCATGTTCAATATGGGCGTGCCAACTCCGAATTAACAAATTATACAGTACTATACGTAACATTAAATTTATTTAGTAATAATATTATTAACCGTAAATAATAGTAAGTAGAAAAAAAATCCTTAAGAGTTTGTACCCGCCGTCAGAGCGGATAGTTTTTAGCTTTTAAATAGTATATGGATATGGATGACTTATTGTAGCACTACTATCCATTATTATCCAACACACTAGTATTTGTACGCAGGGACTACTACTTCCTTTAATAGTCCCTGATTGTACGCTACTGTATATCATGAAAGTAGCCCAAAGTTATATGCACGATACACCAACTCAGGCGTGCTCCAAAGAACTGCTAATAGAAATAAGATTATTATTATCTTTATTGCAAGGTCATGTGTACTTTTTTAGTCCCGTTGATATGCATTCGATTGAACAACTATATCGTAAGAATCTCCTCTAGTAGTGTTCTGTTCAAGTCTCAATCTACTGCAGTAGTGCATGACATCAGAATATGATTTCGTTGTTTTGAAGAGTATTCAACATGAAAATATAATTCAGTCAAGGTCGCAATGTTAAATAAATTTTTTACAACTAAGATCCAGCTATATGGTACTCGCATTAAGAGCTGAAAGTAGTTCAATTTTGATTTTTGCATTTATTGTATCGCACTGCAGAGAATTATTATGTACCGTCTAATTTACTATGCTTAGTACATTCAAATCACATCATTCATACATGCGTCCGCAGAAATTATATTGAATTATTACTGCCAAGCGAATAAAAATACTTCGACTTAATATCTACTTGGGTATTAATAATCTCAGTTACGAGAAAATCATACTCTTAAATACGTAACTTTTGATTGACTTTTTTGATAGGCTGATATTGATCTTGCGGTTGCTGCAGCCAAGCAAGCCTTCAAGAAAGGAAGTACTTGGCGAACTATGGATGCATCAAAACGTGGTCGCTTGATATCTAAATTAGCCGAATTGATGGAAAGAGATCAACAGTACCTAGCGGTAAATACAAAAATTCGTTGATTAAACCTGATAACGTTATTATAAACTGATTTCTACCATATTAAAATCAGTAATAAATCCACTTTTACGACTCGATACAGTATGAAATTGCAGCTCAAATAGTACAAGAGTAATGCATAAAGTATTTTCAATGCAATTTATTGTCTATTTACCTAATCCATTCATCGGAATAACTTAAATCATACGTAGTATAAAGAATGGTAATATATTATATAGTACATAGCATGTACGCACTTGCCTTAGCACTCGACAGCCGATACTGGGATAACACAGTAATTCATGATTTGTTATCGGCATATCGTTATTAATCATTGCTAACGAAAAGGGCTAGTGGCTCTATCGATGTTATAGAATCAATCGTTATCATAATATTTATCTTCTTTGAAATGTCTTCAAGCGTGAATATAATCTTATTTACCGTTGTTTGGTGTTAACTTTTGTTGCTGTAATACTAAACAACAGTCTTTGGAATCCCTCGACAATGGAAAACCAGTCAGAGTAGCCAATTTCGCCGATTTACCGGGAGCGATGCTATGTTTCAGGTGCGGATTTCAATATCATATCTATTAATGCTATTTGGTATTAAATTAATATAGTACAGTTTATTTTAAAAGACACGTAATTTCGCATATCTATCTTCTCATGAATACGTACATAGTAGTGCGCTATGAGGATAGTATCAGCGACCTAGTCGCCAATGATGTCCGATATATGCAATCAATCATCATGACATGTGACTAATATTAATACGATTGCAATTAATCAGTAGAATACTTTCTATCATATTAGGTACTATGCAGGTTGGGCTGATAAAATTCACGGGAAAACCATACCAGTCGGTAATGTACTGTGTAATATTAATATTATATCGCAATTTATGATAAAAGCATTGAAAATAAACGTATGTTCTCATTCGGAAATTAACACGCAAAGTAACGATAAGTCTTATTTGTTGACCTTAGATGGACCTTATATGACTTACACGAGACATGAACCCATTGGAATTTGTGGCCAAATAATTCCGGTAATGAAACATTTTTATCACTCTATAACTGATGTACTATAAAATTTTAATACTTTGCCTAAAATTCACTTTGAGGATAATCTCAAGCGTATGATTAATTAGCAGGACTCTTTAGCTATAAGACTTAGCAATAATTGCTTATAAATGATTCATGCTTACTGTACTTGTTACAATGATCTACAGCACGCGATGCATGTAATATCTAATTGATAAGTTAGCTAATTCAATGCTAATGGCAATGTTTAATTTTACGAATAACTAGTGGAATTTTCCATTGCTTATGGCTTCTTGGAAATTGGCTCCTGCTTTGGCATGCGGGAATGTAGTTGTTTTGAAACCTGCGGAACAAACGCCACTTTCTGTACTTTACCTGTGCCAGTTAGCTGTAGAGGTTATTCAGTGGCCTTTAAAGATGACCTTTTAGCCTTACATGTAGCTATCCTGCCCTAAAACAAAATTTACTATTTACTGTAGGCTGGATTTCCACCTGGCGTTATTAACGTTGTACCTGGATATGGGCCTACCGCCGGTGCAGCAATCAGTAACCATCCTGATATTGATAAAGTAGCATTTACTGGCTCAACTGAGGTATGCTATAGTGTTTTAACCAGTTGTAAAAGCTCAATTTTATGATATGAATAGACAAATTCTTGAATATCAGCATCCGGATATGAGTGCGTAAGCATATTTCATAATTTCATACTTAATTTGTGTCTATCCTATGTCATTAAATCACAGGTTGGTCAAATTATCGCACAAGCCGTTGGCGCAAGCAACTTAAAGAAAATTTCGCTTGAATTGGGAGGCAAGAGTCCAAATATTATTTTTGATGACGTCGATGGTAAGCTGTTTTGTTTTGATATCACAGCTTTTATCCTACATTTTTGTGCAGTTCTTACCTTCACTTAATCCAAGTATGGCACTGTAGCTACTGTTGACATATTGCGCAAATATTCTATTTTGTTTAGTTGACGAAGCTCTGCAATGGGCTCATTTGGGCGTCTTTTTTAACAACGGCCAATGCTGTACTGCCGGCTCCCGTGTCTTTGTCCAGGATGCCATCTACGACGAATTTGTTGCTAAAGCTGTTGCAAAAGCTAAGACTGTTAGAGTCGGCAATCCATTCGATGATATCGACCAAGGTCCCCAAGTTAGTATTACCAATTGCAATGTCGCGTATTACCTTCACTGTGTACATTATTAGTCCCTCTTCTAAGATACTAGCTTCGTAATACCGTTGTAAAACGGGTATAGTCGAATCTAGCTTTGCTCAGCACGCTTCGCCGTACAGATCATTACCTAGTGCGCACTGACTCATTGTAATGGTAGACTGACAGCCCAAAATGCTTACAACTACAATAGTAGACTAACATGCTGGGTAAATTTCCAGATCGATGAAGAACAAATGAAGAAGATTCTGGAGCTTATTGACAGCGGCAAAGCTGAAGGAGCTGATATGAAATGCGGTGGAAGCCGACATGGTGATCGTGGTTACTTTATTCAGCCAACTGTATTCACAGATGTAAAAGATGATATGAGATTCGCAAAGGAAGAAGTATGCTTTACTCTTTGCTTAGCTGCGTAACTATCATTTTTCCAGCTTATGCTCTTTTTAACTGTTCTATAATTGCGTAATGATGATCTTAAATATGTATAATATCGATATAATATTTTCTTCAAAAATTAATTTAAAATCGCGCAGATCTTTGGACCTGTAATGCAAATCTTTAAATTTTCAACAATCGATGAAGTTATCGAGCGTGCTAATAATACAGTCTACGGATTGGCTGCAGCTGTTTTCACTAAAGACATAAAGAGGGCAATACATGTTTCCAATCACATACGAGCCGGCACGGTTTGGTAAGTCGCATCATATGTTCGAAGTCACCATTGTACTGTACTTTAATCAATTTATTGTTAGTTATATTATTAGATGCATCGATAGACATATTTATCTTTAATTGCACCCTGATTACTCTTAATGTTAGTCTGGTTTAGTACCTATTTACTTAATTCAGTCAAACGTTGAGATTTGGTTGTGCTAGTTTTTATTGAGATTTTTTATTAAGCATGCTTGTGTTATTCGATAGGATCAATTGCTATCATATGACTGCGTGTCAAGCCCCATTTGGTGGCTACAAGATGTCTGGCTTCGGACGTGAACTGTAAGTACCGTGTACCAACACCGTTTGGTAAATGATGTATTGATTTAATATCATATTATAATTTGTAAGATTCTTCAGCATCGATGAAGAGTGCTACTAAACAGGCTGAATACAGTTAAATTTATGTAATTGAGTAATTCGGTTTAGCATAATGTATATTTTTTTTTTATCACCCTTAATTAAATATTACAGTGGAGAATATGGGCTTGAACTCTATTCCGAAGTTAAAACGGTCACTATTGCGCTTGACTCCTTGGAAGCTAAATAGATTCATTTTAAACAAATTGTTTACACTTCTTATGTGATATCCGGTAATTTTGGGATTTTTAAGTAAAGGTGATTCCAGTAAAAACGAACAGGCTAATCTTATAATGCAATTGAACTTCTATTACAACTAATTGTTGTATGACCTACAGTAATTGACTACTATCTATAGTGCAACTTTAATATCATGGTCTACATATGTTGTCCTGGTTTACCGTTGAGTTCTGCATTTAAACTACTTCAATTTAAAATCAGTCTAATTGCTGAAACACACTCGAACTGTCAGATGATATCCTTCTTGTTAGGATAGCATGTTAACAGCTGGATGGCATATCAGCTGCTTGCTACTATGCAAACTTTACAATCAACGTCAGGCTCTATGCATTGTAATGAGTTTGGAACTACTTCGGAGGAAAGTCTTGCAGTAGCACACAGATTAACACGATATGCGAATGTCTATCTATCCGTAGTATTACGGTAATTTACATAGTAACTTGGATGCATTCTAATCTTAGTACAGTATGATGGAATACTTGGGCAGCATAATAATCATGATCATAATAGGGCATGTCATGAAAGCTCAACTAGCTTTAATATGACATGCCCTGCTATCCTGCATTGGCTTTAATTAATTCTATTTTTCTTCAAGATTTCAGCATGTTAATTGATCATGACAGCATAGTAATAAGTGCTACTGTAATCTCAAGTATACGAATTTGCCTGTGTGTCATTTCACTGGCAGGCATATCAACTATGCTAGTAGTTCATTCGAGCTTTAGAATACTGCTGTATATTATGGAAATTAACCTGAACCCTATCATGACGGCTTATATAAGGCATGGATTACACTGTCTATGACAGAATAATCCGCGTACAGTATAGTGTTGCTCATCATGATGAAATTGATGATAGTTTAGGGCTGTGACGATTTGCCTTATCGTAGTTGAAACAAGATCATGGATGAACGGTACGTCGGGTGGTGTGACGCAGGAACGCCCTGCTGTCAATCACGATACACGACGATTTGCCCTATCGTAGTTGAAACAAGATAATGGATGAATTGATACGTTTGGTGGTGTGATGCAGGCAGGAACAGGGCCATGCCTTGCTGTCAATCACGATACAAATGACAGTATAGCATACTGTATCATGACAAAATTCATGATAGTTTAGTACAGTGACGATTTGCCTTATCGTAGTTAGTTACAACAAGATAATGGATGAACGGTACGGTACGTCCGGTAGTGTGATGAAGGAACGCCCTGCTGTCAATCAAGATACCAAATTAGATCATCAATCTTGCATTGCCTAATTATTATGATGCATAATTATAGTACATACTGTACACTACTGTATAACCTTGGTATAGTCATAATAATAATAATAAGGGAAAATTAATGTAATAATAATAATAATAATAGGGGCATATGGTTAATTTTCCCTAATAATAATACTTTAATATCGCAATACAGTACTGTATACTGTACTGTACTGTACAATATAATCGATAGCCGTATGTTAATATACTGTACAGTACTGTAGCATGACCTCATCATTATTATGACAATATTATGAGCAAGAATATATCATAACAACAAAAAGGCGAATGGCAGTCTGCTAGCTATCTTTAAAAGTTGCTACTGCAAATTCACGATCACTTCGCTTCCTTCCGATCATCAACGATAGAAATCGATAGTTTTCGGATTGAAGTAGCGCTTTATCAAGTGTGCAGATCATGAACATTGGCATTGAATACTGGATAGCCAATGTTTCATGATCTTATCTTATTTTTAATCAATATCGCACTCTGCCTTTAATGACACTTGACTGACGTGAGAGTTTACTAGCTATACGTTATAATTGATCAATAATGATTGATTATTGATATTTTTATCATCGTTATGGTTGTCATCAGTGAATGAGTGTCGTCTGCTGTAGCCGCTTTTGCAAATGCAACATCATTTAACTTCCATCATGGGCTACTAGTTATTACCTAGTAGTCTATGAGTGCATTTGGTTGCAAGTCAACGAATACAGTTCACATTTATATCATCCTTCTTGAACGATAAAAAAAAATCCCAGATTGATACAATATTTTAGTATGTCGATCACTGACGTCAACACTTCAAGCAGTAACAACATATTACGTAAATACTATACGTATTTTCGTATCGTCATTTTACAAGATGTTGTCAAATATCTAGTGTTTTAATTTACTTTTAACGATGTACACTGCGTTCTGCAGGGGGGTTTTTTTGCAGGACCTTGGATGCATAAGTACTGTGTCATTGTATATAGCGAATACAGAAGCATTACATGCTTATTTTGCCTTCAACTGTTGTTAAAGGAGAGATGAGTACTTTATTCGTTGTTCAACTAATGGTGCCATGAATACTGTACTTGGATGTCAATATAACAATTTGCGATGGATTAGTGAGCAATTGAGGACCGAAATTGTAACATTTGCTTCCATTGTATCAGATACGTGCTAAATTGGATTGTACAATATGGCGGAAAACCGGATCCTTTTTTTCACTTAGTTAATAATACCACATCCTAAACTGGATCGTCGATAACGTTGTAACAAGTCCTGTTTGATTGTTGACGTATGTTTTTCAACAATGCTACAATAAACAGACTTGGAAACACTCTAGTAGTGATTCTACTATATTTGTTTAGATATACTGTATCCCGCTGCAGTACAGTATGCTAGTCTTGACTTTTGAATTTTGCCGTAATCTAGACCGTCGCTTTATAAAAAGTTCTTACAATACTCAACTGAAACTATCATCAACACCCTCACCCCAAAAATGATCGAAATTAATCCTATAAGAATATTCTATTTTTACTTTAATGTAGATCCGTCTCTCTATAAAAAGTTGGTTAGAATCCTTAGCCAAAACTATTGTCAACACCTCTGCAAAAAAAAAAACACATTGAAATTGATCCCATCAAGATTTGTTATAGAGTCACAGGGTCTACCGTATCATAGGGGTAAAGTTTTCTTTCTCTTCGGTACACTCTACGTACCCAACTCAATAATACTTTTAAAAGATGAAGCCAAGCAACCAGGGGAGTCGAAATTCATCAGCTGACTCAGTGTGAAGGCGTTCTTGCTGACCCCCTTCTTGAACTGGTTGAACTATTTTATTCCTGTTGCACAAGTTGGCTACACTACAGTCTGTTCGATTCGTGAACTTTTCTATAGATTTGTGTACACGCCATGTTCCAATTGGAAAGGCCAGCAAAGCATCATCGATGTAAACAAAACCTTAACCTGTACCTACAGTACAGTACTGTGTAAACAAACCAGCAAACGAACTGTAGCATGCTACAGTATACTACTGTAGTACTGTACGTTAGCTGCATAGAGTACTGTACAGTCTGTACTGTACTTTAGTACCTGGTAGTGCCATGGTCGGCTGTACTGTAGTACTGCAGGGTATTGTACTGTACCTCCAGTTAATAAAAAGATCTGCAAACTGTTTTACCGTTCTCTTCCTTTTCTAACAGGTCAGGGTAAGACACATAAAACTTCGCTCCTTGCAATATTCTCTTTTTCAACCTACTGCAGGTGAAAATAACTTGCCAATTTAAACTAGTTACTATTTAATATGGATCAATTTCCCTATTTTAGCATTGACTTCTTGTCTTTTTTTACATTAGCGACTGAACTTTCATCATGTCTTTTGATTCTAATCCAGAAATTAAATATACAAAGGTTAGCTAGCACTGCTGATTACTCGCAATTACAGTAAAAAAAAACATAAAAATCTATAGTTTTAAAGCGTTCTCAAGTTTACTGTTGTCTCATATACTTCGATTTATACATAATAATAATAATAATAATAATAGAATTAAACAAGCAATGCTGTAGCTCTCGATAGAATGTCATTTGCAATAGTCTGTAGCTTAAGCTACAGGTAGAGGATATTGATGACTTTGCAATTTTGCCTTAATGGGTCAGTTAATGATCAATTTTGCTGTACGACAAGTTGTGCAAGCCTTGAAATTCTGAAAGGGCACTGCAGTAGCACAGCAATACGGAAAAGACGGTAACGATTTCTCTTCTTCGATATATTAATGCATTGAAAAAAAATTTGAAAGATTTATTGTATTCTCTGGCCTTGTTCAAGGGACTATAAATATCATCGACCCAGCCGTCAGTGCAGTACTGGTAGCATAGTTGTACGTTTTGGGAGCAGTAGAGAACCAAAATTTTGCATCTGCTACGTCTAACGGCGTCGGTTCTCGTTGTACGCCTACGCCTTCAAGCAGTTCTTACAGCATATTCCTAGTAATAGTAATAATATAGTTATAGATATATATACGTTAATTAAATTAATTGTAACCATTTTGAAAGATACAATCATTGTACTGTAATTGCCACGCCATCATCAACTGATTACTTTACACAGCAAAATCATGTGGAGAAAGAATTACTAAAGATCTCCATATCCGTAGCGTGTTTATACTAATACAAAAATAAATCTGTGTTCAGCATGTACTGATGCATCAACTGATAACATAATTAGGTTCAGTAAATTGTTTTAAAGGTCAAATCATATATACGTATGAACCAACAAGAAACCTTTTTAGTCCATCTCAACACCGTACAGACGCGTACACCAACAGTGCAATATTTTTGATATATTCCTCCTGACAATCTTTACAATAAAGTAGCGAATGGAATAACAATGTATACTAGCAATGTGAACAGTGGCTATTATGGTCAGTAATAGAAAATGATAGATAATAGTTTGGCCTACACCTTTTAAGAGTTAATGCCCAAGAGCTCAATTTAGTTAAGATATGATTTTACTGCAATGTTAGATTGAATATCAACTAAGTTATAGGTAATGCTATTCTATCCTAACAGGTTTTCATCAATAACGAATGGCATGACTCTATCAGCGGTAAAACTTTTCCAACCATCAATCCTTGTACAGGTGAAAAGATTTGTGATGTTGCTGAAGGTGACAAGGTAAGCAATTAATTACAAAAGATTGAACCCTTTAATTTCAGGAGAGCAACAATCGCTTATCTGTCATATAGTCATTATATTGTATTTATCATCCACTACTATATCGTAATAGGCTGATGTTGAAATTGCAGTAGAAGCTGCAAAAAAGGCCTTTAAAAAGGGAAGCGTTTGGCGTACCACGAATGCTTCTCAACGTGGTCGTTTACTAAACAAATTGGCCGATCTAATGGAAAGAGATATAGACTACTTGGCGGTAAATTACAGTACTTATTATATCAATACTTGATATATACTTTCTCCTTATAAGCGTTAT